GCACGGCGTTTAGTCATGCGAAACCTCCACGAGACATCACGCAGCGCACGCAGCGCGCGAGGTAACTTTATCCCGATTCTAAAAATAACTCGAGACGGATTACCTATGGAATAGGGTGTGTATGGGGGATGCCCTCTCTGTCCCCTTTATCCTCTCTTGGTGGAAACCATTTGAATGCATATCAACAGGCAACACCGTTTCTATAGCGAGGAAGGAGGAAGACGAGGAAGAAGAAAAAGCGAGGACTCGTAGCGAATCAAAAACGAGTATTTTATGACAACTCGTTAATGCGACGTACAAAACACTATTTCAACACGTCATCAACTTTGGTTTTCACAAGAAACCCATCGATCAAAAGCAACGGTCTCACCACCAAACGCTTAGCTGTGATACCTGAAGTGTAAGCTTTTGAAGTTGTTTTATGGACAGCTTTTTTCCAGGATGTCTGATCAATTAAAAGAGAAGTCAATAAGTAAATAGTAGGATGAAATAGTCTTTTGTTCAGGAAAACAGGGGCTAAGAAAAGAATTGATAACCTTACCTGTATCGCCTCAACTTCTACTATGTGTGGCGGGTATTTCCGCTGGCCAACTCGAATGGTTTTTTGCAGTCTAGCCAGGCAGTCAAGCGCAAGAGGCTGTTTACTGGAGCAGGAGCGAAATACTTGGTTCACGTCTCTCATCAGCAAAGAACTGAAAAATGAAAAAATAGTAAGAAATTTTTATTGATCTGCGACTATGCATTTGTGAGTATCGGAAAACAAGTGCAACAGGGCACGCAAAGTCAAGTCAGCAAACAAATGCCAAGCGAACAAAAGCTCTAGATTTTTCCATCACTACAGAAACAAAATTTATTCACTTTAAGTAATAAACACTAACCTGCAGGCAAAAATACCGGTACAAAGCCACAATAATTCCCATCCTTTCTCTTCACTTGAACTGCAAAAGAACACAGATAAACATGGTCAACAAAATAGGGTAACGATAGACAGAGAAACACAGATGAGGACTGAGTAAAATAGTAAAAACATAAGCAAAAAATTGGTGTTCTGGCATTTACTTTCCAACCCGATTTCCCAGAAACTTTATGTAACTGGTACATAGCTTTGAATGCCGGGATAATAACTTTCGTTATCACCTAATGACAGCAGTTTTTCCGAAACTACAGTAACCCAGGTTATCAAATACGACAGACTAAAATGATGATGAAAAATTCTGGATAATAAAGAAGTCCACATTAACGAAGTTCAATTGTACTTACGGTAATCTGTTATCGGTAACCTGTTTAATTAACTGGCAGTAAACTTCATCTCGCAACGGTTCCTAATAAAGCAAAAAGGAAATTGAAAAAAAAAAAAAAAAACCTGAGATAAAAATAAACGAAAAATAGTATCTAAAACTTAATATGCTGACATGAGAAGCGGTTAATAACTGCCAAAACAATTCATCAATCCTCTCTTGGGAACACGTAACAAGTATAAGTTACGTAATAAGAATCTGTGTCCGGGTTAGGGTTGCGTGTTAGTACCAGTGTATGTTCAGGTGCTGGGTTTAAACTTTCTCAAAATGCTTTGAAGTAAAGAGAAAAATCACCATCTAAATCTAAACTGATGATCCACACAGAGGGTGGCCCATCACTGTGGATGAATAATTGTATTTTGACGAAATTGGATTTGGCAAATAACGGATAACAACTTAGTTTCCATTCTTGAAATTCTCAGGCCAACTCTGTTTACTTTGAGCTAACCGGAATCATGTACCGAATGAAGCGACCACAACAACTAATATGCGCTCTTAAGGATAAAGTGAAAAACTCGTTGGTGATGTACAACTTACATGAAGGAGCGCGGGCTCAAATATGGCGTCGGTGAGGTCGGTTGTTTGTCGAAATCGCTTTGATGGGTAATCACCCATGTATTTCATGATAGGTACAACAAGTCAAGGAAAATCATATGGATAGATACTTCTCAGATAGGCCGCTACTATTACTAATATCTACCCACATATATATGGTTCCTTTAAAGAAAAAAAACCTTACTCACAAGGACTTTTCGCGACCGCCAGTACCTATTTTACACAGTAAAAGCCACAGATAAAACAAGCTAGGCTCACTCGATTAAGGAAAGTCGATCGGTTGTTGAGCAATAATTATTCTAAGTGACATTGCATGTATTAGCTACAACCAGTTGCAAAAATGTTGAGACACTTTCACAAAAAACCAACCTTTCATGCTTCAAATCGCTGCTAGTCACAGGTCTGTGAGATATAATACTGACCTCCCTCCTCCCTTCCATTGAAAGTTGTTCCTTCAAGTTTTAAGCATTGCTAGCAACTTTGATAAGGGGTGGAGGGGGTATCAAAAGCACAAGATCATGGACAGGCCATTTATGCCAAAATATGGTACAGTGTCTCAAGTACTTTTCCAACTGGTTGTAGTTATTATGCTAGGTATTACAGTATGCCGATTCAGTAACTCTTGTGAAAGGATATCCAGAAAGGTCTGTGTAGCCATTCGAGCGAGTTCTTCTTGTCCTGCAAGACGCTTTAACAATGGCTGCTTCATTGGATCCTACAACACAGAGAACCTTTAAAGGTCTACATTTTCTCAAGATTAATATAATTTCAGAAACATTTATGGCGATGTGAACAAATAGCAAGAGAGGAGTTTAAGTAATTTAAAGTAAACGAAGAAGCTGCATGGAAGTTATCCTCTATGTCTCTTACAAAAAATAATATAACCTATTTAAAAACCTAAATGTTCTAGATTTTCAGAAGATACCCGATACATAAGAACTTAATGGTGGCAAGTTGGAAAAATTTTTTGCTAAAAGCACACAAACTCAAGATTACAAGTAAAAAACAACAACGATACAAACACAGTGGAATACCTTTGTAAAGGCCCATGGTGCGTTTTTATCTCTCCTTTTAACCTGCGACGAAAGTGCTTTACTTAGTGTCCTCTTAGTTGGAGGGAGAAAATGATCAATGGAGTAATCTTGTAACGTGTGAGGTTTGATAAAGTCTTCCATCTCCTCTTGATATATTGCTGTCTGTGTTGTAGCGATGATTTTTTCTGAATTCTCTAAAGACTGATCACTAAATAATGCCTGCAAACAAACAATCAAAAAAATACTTATTAAAGCTGTTATCTGAAAGTGATGTGAAAAACTGACCAAAAATCCTTACTGTATCTAATACATGTTGAATGAAAATGTGAAAGATAACGGGTAAACCTCAGTAAACAAGTTTTAAAAAACAAGTAATTGTGTTTCGCTTACAAGTTGCACTACAACGGATTCACAAGAAGCACCATTCCTAAGCTTTAAACAGTTTTGTCACTTTTCTTGATTACTGCAGAACTTTGGCCTGCACGCTACTAAGGAGTGCGCGAATGAAGCCCCTGGATACCACACATGTATCAAATAAGCCAACAGAATACATGTACAAGGACACAACTTACCATTGTATCTGATGTTGGCTTGGCGATGGTGGGTAGCACATACACGCATTCAGCAGGGAAATCTCCTTTCTTTCCTGTACGCTCGCAAGTGCCGAAACACCAACCAGAGTTTACTACTGTCTCCCCGGTGTCATTCTCCAGGATGATGAGATCGCCTTTTTTAAAACTTAGGAACGATGAACTCTCAGCTGCAGACAAGATTATCAATTACGAAATTTAAGATTTGTTGTAGTCACCAGTTAAGTTGTAATGCGGCCGAATCTCACTAATCCAAACAAGGTGTCTGCGTCGCAAAGGTCTATTCATAAATGAATGAAAGATTGAACGAAAGCATTTAAGTAGTTTCTTAGGATCAAAGATAAGCCCCACTACAATTGCCTTGTTATCACGTCACCTCAGACGTATAACTAATTATATTCAGAGTGTGTAGTTAATAATTTTCCCGTAATGACGCCACCTCCTTTTTGCAGCTTAATTAAATGTCCTCCTTCAAATCTTATGAGAGTTATTTTTCTACATTAGAAACAAAACACATAACCAAACATGGCAGCTAAGTAGCATTAGTTTGAAGCTTCAAAAAGGATGGGATCAGAGGAGCGTTCGCCAAGCAACTATATATATAAATGATTACAATTAAAATTTGTCTTTGTGTTCTTAGCGCTAAAATGTTTGAAAATCCAGACGTTTCGGGACTACTGTCCCTTCATCAGTGGAAGATGCCGTTACCCTCAACGCGCGTCATTTTATTCAAGCGTGGCAACACAACACCAGGGACAGACGTACAGCGGAGGGCCGCCTAATTTTAAATGAAAAACTCCACAGCCGCGCGGCATAAACATTGACTTCAATTTTATTTGAGCGAAGTCTTCCAGTGCGCGCTTCAAATGTTGTCACATTTGAATAAAATGACGCGCGTTCAGTGTAACGGCATCTTCCATTGATGAAGGGACAGAGGTCCCGAAACGTCTGGATTTTCAAACATTTTAGCGCTAAGAACACAAAGACAAATTTTAATTGTAATCAACTTATCAGCGCTACACAGTTCCTAACCATGTTTTGATCCTGTATATATATAAATGCTTGATTGCTGGTATTTAGTTAAGTGTTGGTTAGTGGAAAGGTACCAACAATAAAAAAAAAAGCACACTCAGATTACATCAGTCTTAATTGATTATTACAACTTATTGATTATTAAACTTACTGGATTTTAAGCTCTTGGTTTGCCTCCTTTTTGATAATCAGATCGCCGCCATAATCGCGGTATGGCAGGTTAATGAGGTCAACAGTGTTGTGAAAAACTCTCAAAACTATTCCTATCCCTGAGCGTTAAGCCTTCCTAAAATCTTGAGATAGTTCTGAGAACATTTTACAACACTGTTTAATAACTTTGTCACAATTTGTAATATCCTCTACTACGAAAGAAGCGAACTGGTTGAAGGTGTCCGAACTCACCTGGACTCTGATAGTCCACCATGGCCACGACATATTTGGATCTTTTCCTTAATCCTTCAAGGAAGAACTGTACTAATTCTTGGATGTCATCAGCATTGGCTGATGTGAAGGTGTACTCTTCACCTTTGACGGTAGTAAGCGTGAAGCTGGAACTCTCTGTCTTGGTGGTTCTACAAAAGAAACAAGAAGAGGCTCAGCAAAATAAAGAATTTTAGGAATCCAACGTCGCCTACAGTTATTAATTATGGTAGAATTGTGTAATTTTCTCGCTTTTACCCAACTGTTCTTGTTTAATCATCATCCGCTTGTCATTGAGTATTTGTTGTTGCTGGTACGGTTAGTTTCAGTTTCTTGTTTTGCCATAAGTTGTACAAAAGCAAGGAAATCTGACTATTCAAACTACCGTGGCGAGGAAGCCCAAGAGAAGCCACCAGGCTTATAAGTAATGGGCTCCCTCCGTCAAATAATAAGAACAAAATATTATCATAATTACACATGGAAAAATCAATGGCAGGGCTACAGTAAGTCTTAAAATTTATTAGATAGTCGTACTAATCATAGTCAGGTTAAAAAAGCGAAATGAAAAAAAAAAAAAAAATTATGATAAGAGGAATGCTTTAAGCTTACAGCAAAAGGACGCGGTACTTGCATTTCGAATTTCAAAACTAAGAGAGTTAAAAAATTTAGGACCTTGGGAACTGATGGAGAACTTTCTTATATTAGTCGTGCATTGTGGTAAATAAAAAAGCTGCGAACTTCTAGTGCCATAAGAATGCACCTGGCGTGTCACCAAGATGTTCATTTTTATTGAAGCTATAAGGAAGTAAGCCAGATCTGTACTGAAACATAAATTTTCCTATTTGAAGTTTGTAAATACTCTCGAGATTCAGTAGTTTTAAATTTTTAAATAAAGGATCGGTGTGAGCATCGAAAGCACTCGTCGACATTATTGTTGAAACCCGTTTTTAAAGTGTGATTAATCTTCTGAGGTTTGATGGGTAGGTCGACGCCCAGACGCTCACGCAGTAGAATAAGTATGGGTAGACAAGGCTTAAATAAAGTATCCGTAAGAAGGAATTATTAAGGCAAAAACTTGATTTATAAATTGTACCTATGGCTTTAGACACTTTCCGTGCAACATTATGTATATGTGATTTCCATGTTAAATGTTCATCCAAAATAACACCAAGAAAAGTAGCTTCCTTAGCACGATCAATCGAGTAATTACTAATATCAAAAGCTAGATCAAGTGTTTGCCTGTTTTGTCTCGGTCTGAATATGATAGATTTCTTAACAGTAATAGATAACTTAACTGTATAAAACCAGTTATCTTTTTCAGTTCTAAATTTACAACTTCCATAAGACAGGAAACATCAGTACGTGAACAGCAGATATTAGTGTCATCAGCAAATAATGTCAGCTCCAAGACCTTTGACACATTACATAGATCATTTATATATATTAAGAATAACAGGGGACCTAAGATAGATCCCGAGGGACTCCACAGGTAATATCTAATGATGAAGAATTGTAACCGTTATAATGCACAAATTGTTAGTTTTACTTGTAACAGTAAACTGCTCTTCCATGGACCCTACATTTCAAATAGTGGTAATTTCTTACTTGATGCTTGTAACCGTAGTGATCTCCGGAAACTGAAGGTCGAGAAGAACATGTTCCTGGTCATCGACAACGTAAACTCCGGTCCAGTTTACTGCCACTATCACATCATTTTTAGGAAGACTGGGGCCTGAGAACTGATAAGCTTCATAGAACCTGGAGAACAGCAGCGGCCATTTAAATCGAGCGTAGTTGACAACGTCTTCTTTGACTTTCTGAGGATTAACTTTTTCGGTTGTGTAATATCCCTGCGAAAACATACAAACAGAACCACTTGACTCTTCCACAACGGGACAAAACGAAACTATCTATCTCTTCAACACAGGGTGCACCTACGGAAGAGTGGGAAATCCGGTACAAAAGAAACAAAGCCACTGTAGGCAGTAATTCTTAAGGAGTAGGGTGTCAATTCATTGCTAGAAGGTGCCTTGTTCCTTTTTTGGAACCAACATAATTGTATCGTGATAGATGTATAAGAAACAAATCATATAAGAACTGCGTAAATGAAATCAAATGAAGAATGATCCTCGCAGTTTTGAACGCGATTTACGCAATTGTGTAAGAAGCCTGTAATAAATTCAGGACTTAACGGTATTTGAACCCGTGACCTCGCGATATCGGGGCAATGCTCTAACTAACTGAGCTATGAAGCCACTGCTGTTGGGAGCTGGTCAATTATGTGTTCATATGTTCCCGTGAAAGAGATGAATGTGATAGATGTATATGAACAGCAGTGGCTTCATAGCTCAGTTGGTTAGAGCATCGCACCGGTATCGCGAGGTCACGGGTTACAATACCGTTGAAGACCCGAATTCTTTTTCTCAGGCTACTTACAGAATTGCGTAAATTTCGTTCACAACTGCTAGGACCACGCTTCATTTGATTTTCTTTATGCACTTCTTATATGTTCTTTTATGGTCCGGGTGGGAATCACACCTGGACTTGCTTTTCTGAAAACCGGTACTTAGCCAGCGATCACGATGCCAGGTATCATATTTCTGAGAAAATGGGCAAACTTTTAAAAGCCATTCTATTGCATGTAGCAAGTTTTCTTAAACAAAAATCCTACCTTTCTGTGACAGCTCATGATGAGTTGGGCCCACTTCTCTTGTCCCGGTCTACCACCCTGCAGTTGATTCTCAGGGAGGTAGGAGGAGAGTAGGTTGAGGAGACGGTCTGGTACCATATCCTTACCGTACTCTACATAGTACTGTTTTGCCGCAACTTCCGCCAAATCCTCCTCCTGCAATCAAATACCCCACCACACAAACTTAACCCTTGAAATTTACAAGAATGCTGTGACGAATGCTCGAAATGACAATGAAACCGGAGATATTCGCATGGATTTAGCGGACCTACATACAGTATACACAACTATCACACAAAGATGGTAGTAGACTCTGTGTGGCGAGTGCAAACTGCGTGGCGCAAAATGTGGTCTTAAGGCGCTGATAATGGTGTTAAATAAACTCGAGACGCTTGCGCACTTCTTCCCCACATCTCTTCACAACTTGCTCTTTTCAAGGGAAAGGTTGCCCCGAAACATTTGAGTGTTCTTTTAAACCATATTCGGTACTCCAAGGCAACTTCACCTTCAAACAGCTTTCAAAATAATTCTTGAAAACAAACCGAGAGTAGAAACTTTTTCTCTCAACATTACTAGAATACTTTTCTTTCATAAACTGGGCCTCTTCTTGCTGCAATTTACTTTGCAGGTTTATTTTTATTTTCTTCACCCAAATTAGCAGGGAAACAACAAAGCCTTAGGCCATTCTCTGTACGCTAGTTTCAGTTTAAGGTCTACGTCTATAAAAAAATCAACCCATAACTTCTTGTTTTTAAGTGTACGGGATACGCCTTACAAGAATGATCGTCCGTCCCTAACTCTCGGCCAAAAATCTCTATATTTATTGCTCTAGCGAAAAAAACCCTCTCTGGTGACTTCTATCTTACCTTATCGCAACGATATTCACCAAACTTGACCCCTCTGACAACTTGTTGGTAGATAAGATTGGTGCCTATCTGATCCACTGTAGGATCGTGCCACGGTGAGAAAATTTCTTTCCGGAAGAACAACCGCCATGGTGCGTTCATCTCCTTGGCGCCCTTTTCTTTAGCGTACTGTTCACACTGGGAAATGGCATCCATCACGTGATCACTACCACTGCCAAGGCTGGATACCTGATGTAAAGAATTATTTTTTAAGAGTGATTTTGCATTTCACGCATTATTTTACATGATACGGGACTTCTTTCGCGGCCTTCAACTTGAACCAGAAGGATATACTAACCCTGCTTGAACACAATAACAGTGACTACATTTTAGTTTCCCTTTTACGCACCTTATCAAAGAGAGCAATATAAAGCGAGAAGCCAAACTGGTCTGTTAGTGAGATCTTGTCTGCTAGCTGGCTACACAATTCTTTAGCTGTTGTGGCAGAGTCCGCGAGTAATGTCTTGGTGGTTCCATCCATGAAGGTTATAGGCAATGTTAAAGGCTTCTTGGATTTAGTGGCCTGATGAAAATAAGTGTGTAATTAACAATTTTTATGGCTAGTGCTTTTATGAAGATTACTCTATCTCAGAAGGAAATCAACGAGGAGCATGAATTGTGCTTTCTCTATTTATTTGCCAGGGCATATTGAAACACTGCTTTAAAAAAAGTGCAAGGGAAATGTAGTAACTAAGGAACCTGCATGACACCGTGGCCATCATGAGACCTCACCGTAGGGTAAAAAAAATTGCAAAAGTTCACAGTAATATGTTACTAAGTGATAGGAACCATACCTGCAATTCAAGCCAGCTAGGGGGCTGGTGTCTACAGCCGTTTTGCTGCGTTCGTCTCAGTCTTTCTTCACAGTATGGTGCATATCCCGGGGGGCCATCACCAATGAAACACTTGAGATACTTCACAAACTGAAAGTAATAAGGCGGCAACAAAGTCGGGAAAAGATGAAAACAGGATGAAATATCCGAAAAGTAAGAACACTTTAAATGGGCAATAATTTTCCTTAAACACCAAGGGTTAAAATTCCTAAACAAGATTCCTGAATTCGATAGGCTGATGTTGTTTTAAAGAGAGTAATTCACTGAAATCTGTTTCTGGGCACCAAAGTCTGGTACACTGCATAGTAACCAACTAGAATGCATCATAACAAACATTAACCTTTTCCGATGGAGCAAAACAACCGAGACAAAGCGACAAGAGAATCCAGCCGCGGGCATGACTTGACTTAGACGGATTCTGCGTTAACTGTTTGCAAATCTGACAATAAATCTCATCTCTGAGGTCAGGTCTTAAGATGCCATGTCCGATTATAAAGTGAAGTTTCTCCAAGTTGTTGGTTGGTCGATCCTGAGCGGAAAGAGGTCCATAGCCTTCAGAAAATGCTCCACTTTCTTCGGCTTCTTTTAACTTGGCTGTCACATCCTTAAAGAGAAAACATTACATTAATGGGTCAGTGCTTCATATATGCCTCCATGAAATGTCCTGTGCACCTAGACAAGCGGTATTAACATTAGTAGCTATAGCTAAGGTAGCCGCTTTATGCAGGAAAGTAGCTCTTCAAGGTTTTAACATTGGTTCTTACAACGACGGTTAGGTGAAGAACGAAATCACCGACTTATTTTCACTGTTAAGTGTCGATATATACATAAGACCATACAAAAAGCGCAACCCAAACAAAACAGACATGTTTTTTTTTTAATAAGTGAGTTAAAGCACTTGTCTTCTGGCTCTCTTGGCCTGTTAACGTCACTGAGTTAAAGAACTAGTAGGGAAACGAGGCTTCTTAGTAATTGGTGTCAAACTACGCAAAAATGGCAGCTGGATTAATATTCTTTTGTTTAAATTAAAATCAGGCCTACTAGCCTCGCTTGAGATAATGTATTCTTTTGAATTTTGTACTGAGGAACGAGGTAAGTTAGACTTATTTTATTTTAAACAAAAGAATATTCATCCAGCAGCCATTTTTGCATTTATTTAGGTCTATGTAGCTTGTTCTTTGTTGGTACTCGTGCGGTATTTCCCTACCAAAGAAAACGGAACATTCATAACCCACCTTTGTTATTTTCGACTTCTTCTTCAACGTCAAAGATACAATTTTCTTTCGCAGCGTTTCCCGTCTCTCTTTATTGAAAGAATTGGTCGAACTCTGAAATGTCAATAGAGAAACATTTGTATCCTTTCCTGAACGTGGTTTTCACATGTAAAGAGTAAAAGAATTGCGCAATACCATCGCGGAGCTTATAGCAGTTTTTGCTGTGATTACTAAAAAGGTTGTTCCTCTTGAAAAGTGTGAACGAAATTTAACAAGTGATCATCTTAGAACATGAGCCTACCCGAGCTGAGCCCAGTCTGAAATGTCATCCGTGGGGCGAAGAGACGGATGACATTTCAAGCAAGAGCAGAGCAACGTTATCATTGGCTGTATTGCCATAAGGGAAGACTCCACGATCATAATCTGAACTGCGGATGCAACGCAGTACGACCATTTAAAAAGTTCCTTGACTCTTTTGTACTGTACTATCTTAGCGCTGATGAAGATAGGTAAGACAGAATGATGAGAGCAAGCATACCCCAAGATCCTGTGTTCCATCATTAGCTTTATCCTTGTATTTCCTTCCAAGAGTGTCGTATATCTTACTCATCACTGAAATGTCCTTTTAACACAGAAAACACCCTGAGTGAGAGCCACTAATGGAAACCATCACCACCAGTCCAGTAAGCAAAGTAAGTGCTAAAGTAGGGCGTTTTCCTTTTTTTTTGTTGAGTACCATGGTAACTATTGCATTCTTCACAGTATTTTTACAAAATGCGGTCAAACGTGTGTACAACGATCACCCTTGGGAAATGGCAAGGTCACCATGATATACAGGGTGACCGCTATATACAGGTCAACTTTACAGAAAATATAAGGCAGCTGAGAATTTTGGGAAGTTGACCAGTGACCGTAAAATACAGGATAACCGCTATCTACAGGGCCGTTATATACAGCGGGTTTGACTGTAGTCTAGTTTTGAGTGTCTTTTTTTTCGTCTAAAATCAATGCTTAAGTTTTTGTTGTTGTCGTTGACAAAGGGGATTTACAAAAAGGAATTATCCGATATGCTTGAACTGTTTCAGGTTTGCTATTACCATAGTGATGACACTTCTGTTACCTTGGATTCTGGTTGGGATGTGATGAACTTAGGTTCCGGTAAGTCGCCCATAAACCTTAGAATTGTTATCCACACAGCTAATGCTGCCTGAAAAATACAAACAAACACATGACACACCCGCCTGATCTGAAACCACCACTTGAAGAACTGTAATTAAAATTGATTCTCTGCTTGAAATGATCATAACGTCATTAGCGTTTAGCACAACATAATCTTTACATGGCGGCCGAAGTGTTAAACTCCTTTACTCTGAGAAGTTGATAAATTTGTCTGATAGAGACGTAAATATATTTATAGCTCGACTACAAATGTGACTTTTCATCGTTACTGCATTGTATGTAAACTGACCTAAAATATGACAAAAGAAAGAAAATTCACCTTTCCTCCTCCGATGAGCTTGTGGTTTAGTCTTAACTTAAAGTACAGAGGGGAAAAACATGGTGGATGCCAGCTTCCGACAATGGTTTCTTAAATCGCAAAGACTGCGATCATCTTTTGAAAACTAACACGAACGACCTTTGTTAATTCTAATAAAAAAATATATCGTTTCATGAACAAGCTTAATTTCGCACTTTTAACACACAAAATCTACCTTTTTACTTTTACCGTTCCATTGAATGGAAGACCAAGTGTAAGAAAAATAAAAGGTCACTTAAAGATTTCGGGGTGAAGTTATGGTGAGATTACTTGTCAGAATTGTAACTTCCGAGTTTGTAGACAAAAATCCTTTTCACAGTACAATTTTGTTTTCGGATCAGTTTACAGAAGGGAACTTGATGTAATTTTTATGACTGTTCAGTTTGGTTACTGTTAGGAATGAAAGGGTTAACAAAACATTTAATTACATCAAATTTTTTCAGAGAGATAGAGGATCTGCAGAGCTTGTGTAATTCAACAGATTGCTTGAAGGCGTTATCACTGGACGTAAAGTTGCTGAAAAGTTCTACCCAACTGTCCTGTCATGGCGAGTCTTTCGCTGTTTCAAAACGAGTGTCCGCTCAAAGGGTTGGCTGTGGTAGCTTCTGATTTACCGAGATTGTCAAACAAAATAGCCTATCCTGAGTGGAATAGAATGGAGAAAAAAAAGCTGGTGGTCACAGTTTAAAGTGTTGATTGCTGGAAGGCTTTATCACTCGTCGTAAAGTTGCTCAACGCTCTTCTCGACTGTACGGTTTGAGCAATGTAATGGTGAGTCTTTCTCTGTGTCCAATCGAGCGTCACTCAAGATTTTAGCTTTTGCATCTTCTGATTCACCGAAGTCATCAATCAAAATACCCTATCCTGAGCGAAGTACCGTGGAGAAAAAGCCTATGGTCACAGTTACAGTGTTAACAGTTGGAAGGCTTTGCCAGGTGACGTAAAGTTGCTGAAAGCTCTACTCAACTGATTTCAAACGGTCACATGTTGCGAGCTTCTGGAAGGTTAGTGTTGGATTTTTTAGCATTTAAAGATTTTTTTAGCCTTTGAAAGGTTATGTTTAGAACAAGAGTTAAGCCCAAAAGTAGTCCAATTTGTCATTATCTGAGAGAAATCAAGAAAGTTTGTGCCCTTCCTTTTTTCTAAGCTTGCAAGTGTAACATACATGAAAAGAAACCCTTATGCACTACTAGTCATATTGTTAAAATGACTATTTTGAAATTACTCCTTATCTTAACTAATAACTACAACACTTATTTAAAAATGAATCGCTCCCGAACATGTGTTGATTGCTTCTTGACCTTTAAAGCTAAAAAAACAAACATACTACGACTTACAGTGATTATAGTTATGTAACTAATTAGTAAAGTGAAAAAGAGTGAAATTTATAAAGTGAAAAAACAAACTGCTGGTTTAACTGTTTTAGAGGTTTGAAGATCTGGAGGGATCGCTAGAGGTGTAATATGAGACTCAATAAGAGGTCTAGTTACTTTAGAACATGTTAGAAGAAATGTATACGTTTTCCTGCAGCAAAACACATATTTTGGCTTGGTAATTATTACTTGTATTTTGATGTAAATTGCATTTTATGAATTATTAATAAGTTTCAGTTAGGGTCATTCATAATGCTGTACTGCACCTTTTATTTTAGTTGACGATTATCTAAGGTATAAAAAATGAATTTTGTATATTTTAAAGACTTGAATATAAGCTTACTTCTGAATTTATAAACAATATATATTTAAAACCTACACTGTAAGTCTGGTTGTCAGTGTAGCCTGTGTTGCAGACATAATCTATTGCCAGTTAGTAACATCTGCAAAGCCGTGCTGCTCGTTTACAGGTGGGCCAGGGGTGCCCACAACCAGGATTTCAGTGCTGTCTCACAGGGGACTCTAACCAGAAGTTTAGTTCTGTTTGTGGCAGAGGCTAGTCCTCTGGGCATTAATGTTTAAATTATGTATTTTATTTTGCTTAGCTGGGAAGACAAAAATAGATGACAGAAGAGCACAAACAAGAGAATATCAAGAAGTATTAAAAAGTATATCTACCACACAACTCGTAAAGAGAGATAAAAGTCAATGAGGACAAAAATGTTGTTAATAAATGTTGAGTACAACTCACTGTCAAATATTAAAGTTGAAAGGAAGGAAGAATGCTGACATTTCAAGGAGTACACTTTTCTGGTTTACAGAAAATCTGCAGCAACAGAAGACACTGAAATCATGTTGAGCTGGTTCAGGATGTCAATTCTGTTTCGATGGAATCCTCTGACAGTGTCTAGGCCAGTGCACAGTAACGTGTAGCCGGGTCCTTGGTAAGACATTTCCTGACTTTACATGCCAACTCTTTTCAAGGACCTCAAGGATAAGTGTCTGTTTCCTGACTTTCACTTTCTCGTCAGGGATCAGCAATATTTAACTAGACAACTGTGGTAACTGTAGTTTTTTTGGTAAGACTTAAAAAACTTCACAGAAAAAGACTGAAACTAATGATCTTGCACTAGGAAGCTTTGAAGAAATCAAGGAGGGGTGTGCAGCACTGTCTGCTGCACATATTTCCTTTGGAGATAAGAAGGCAAACACCCTAGATGCAACTATAGGAAACCAAACTAAGTTGAATTTCATAGAGTATATTCACTCACGGCTTGCATCTATGCAAATTTATTGGAACAAAAGAAATCATTTGCATAAGAAAAGAGTTCAACTCCCACAGGATTAGTTTGGGACACCAACATGGCTGCTGTGACGTCATGTGCATACTCTCTACTTCAATCAGTTTCAATGTTTTTTTTTCCATCCCTAAGCATTCTGTTCCTCCTGTGGAAAAGAGTTGGTGGTTGTTTTATGACAACTTCATCCCTTAGTGTTCTTCATCCTTCAATTAATCAGTTAGAGTAAAGGGATTGTTAATATGATCCTGATTAGGAGAAGAAAGCTTTCTATTAAAGGCACCATGGTCTAGAAGACTAAATGTAAAATTCCCTCTGACCTCATTGACAAGGAGAAACAAAAAGGGATGGGCTGACACCCAGCATAGTGATGTGCAGTATTAAGCTCAACAAGGGTACAGGAAAAATCCACAACTAAGAAACTGGTTTTAAGAACGTGTCAGGCTAATTTTCCAGCTAGGCTGTGTTTATAAAAAAGCACTCAAATTTGAAACAGGTTATTAATCATAACCATTACAATTTCCTCAAATTTGATTGGTGCATTAACTGCTTTATTTTTCTTTAATCATTGTGTATGGTTGTAATCAGACAGTTGGCTGTAGTCGGACAGTTGCCTGTAATCAGATAATTACATTAGCCAATCATTTTAAGTGCACTCAGCTAAATCCACCAATCACAGAAGTTATTACAATAACCATAGCAACAATCACTTACCCCAAACAAACTGGGGATTAAATCCAAAATGGATGAATATGCAACATATAGGCAGTGTTCCACCAGTAATATTTTCCCCTTATTTTGACATTTAGTATGAACAAATGCTATTTCTCCTAAAAGGAATGCATATATTTTCTTGAAATCGTAATGGTTACAGGACTTTATTTTGTCCAATTCAATCTGTAATCATACTCATGATTAAACAAATCCGACTCCTGCTTAGTGGTTGTCCAATTTTGTAACACGTGTATGATTACAGACCGAATTGGACTCCACTCAGTCCTATTACCATTATTTATAAAATCTCTAAGAAAAACTTCTGCACAGTGTACACTTGGGAAAGTAAGATAAGTCAACATACAGGGTCCTCTTTTGAGACATAGGTGTCTAATAATATTTATCATTTAATCTCCGACTGCAATGCAATGGTATACAGGTTTTACATATACTAAGGAAAGAGTTGAATGCCACCAATACTTTTAGCTCAAAGCTACAAAGTATTTTTTTTTTTTCAGAAAATAAGGACCTATTTGAGACTGAACCTAAATAGCTAAATCTGTGCTAATTGGTTTTTTATGTAAGAACCTGGACTTGTTTAGAAAAACTTGGGAAAATACAGGTTCTTAGTTGCAGGTTTTTTACTAGTAATTGAATTTGATGAAAAAGGATTATCAAAAATTAACATAGCGAGATGAGCTTATTTACAACTCCATCTTTCAGACCTGCAATTTATTTAAGGCTGTCTTATAAAGGAACAACAAGAACAGCATGTGCTTTTTTGTCAGCTTTAATGAATTGAGACTATTTAAATGATCTGTTTAGAAAATCCTCTTAACAGATGGAATAGTAAAATGTGAATTAATAAATCATTTCATCAAACTGTCTTCTGCTTTCCTCTTGCCAAACCATCTTTCCCTACAGAGGAGCAAAGGTTGTAGCAAATATCAGAAAAATAAAACAAAGACAAGAGGCTAAGCACCTGAAACCCCTCTTTACTGTTACTTTAACACCCAGGGAGAAGGTTGTAGTACTTCTATACAGGTATGTGCCATGGAATAGGAGGTGGGTTTTGAGATGATCAGTTTATGGTACACTACTTGGCTTTCTGGCTTTCTGATCCTTTGGTAAGGTTCCTTTGTAAAATTATACTAGCTCATCGTCAGTACATAAACTTCAGGGATTTCAAAATGTTTTAAAGTATCTGGAGGCTGGGGACTACAGAATTGCTGGCAACATACAATCAAGTAGCCGATGGAACTCCAGTGGTCACCAGCTTGTTTTGAAACCACTGAAACCTCTGTTTAAAACTGAAGATACATTGATGGGATCAAGATATGAACTTGAGCCAGCGTAAGTTCACACTCACCATGCTGTCAGCTTCACTGGACAGCGGTAGTAAGGACTGTTTGAGTGGTCGTCTAACATACAAAGGAGTCGCACCGCCTTGGAAGTAGGTAGCGGCAAACTTAGAAAACCTGAACTGCGATACGTCTTCTTCAGGCTGCAACAGAAATATTTGATTTGATTATTCACTTAAAAGTTCTGTTTTGGTTGCCATTGCGGTAGATATTTTTCTTTACTTAAGCTCCTAATTGACAATCAGCTACATGGTAAAAGGTATTTTCTTTCAGTCTCTCCGCACCTAAACACTGTTTGGAATTCCAGTGTGACTCAGGTGCTCTGCGCTAACTTTAAGTAGAAGACATAAATGTTATGTCACTGATTTTTTTCTGTACCGTTGCTCACTTGACACATTAGGGACCTTTAGCACGAGAGCAATTTGGAACCACGACGGCGACCGGAACTGATTTTTATTTCCGGTTCGCGTCGTAGGTTTTGGCGCGACGTTGTGCAAGGCCCGCGCCGACGCCAAAAAGCTGTTTTTCGCGTTGCGGAGAAAACGTGAGTAGATTTCTGGTTTCTTTTTCATTTATATTAGCATATTACATTTATTTTAGGCTCAAATGCCTTCAAAATGAAGAAAGAGTCTCTTTCCATAGTCTATCAAGATGGCGAGGCCAAAGATGAGGAATTTTTTATCTGTTTTTTTAGGCTGAAGTTGAGTGAAGTTTAAGATCAAATATGACTGCAGTGGACGAGACAAGGGAGCGATCAAAAATAAAGTAAGAAATAGACCAAAAATTACCGAAAAGCTCTCATTTTACATGGAATGATTAAGTAATCTTAAATTACGATAACTTTTCTTTCAGGCCGATGGAATGGACGGGGGAAAAAGATGTTTTCATGTTGAGGGAAATGTTTGGCTCCAATGTTTTCGCTCTCAAAAAAGGAAGCCCAGCTCGTGGCCTCGCTTGGGAGTCAGTAATATCGACGCTTAACGGAATGGAGTCTCAAGAGTTTCAACTTTAAGACAAAAGAGCAGTGAGAGAGAGATGGATGTTACTAAGCAAAAAGTTTACCAAGAAAATTCGCGAGGAAGAAAATGCGAGTGGAATTGCTGTGAACGACTTGACAGAGAAAGAAGCTCTAATTGAGGAGCTAGTTTCCAGAGAAGACACCGCGACAGCGTCGGAAGCCGAAACTGCATCCAAACAACACGAAAAAGAAACAGCTGAAAACATGAGAAAGAAGGCGATGGAGACCTTAGGAGAAACGAATAAGCGAAAATCCAAAAGCAAGGATGGATCTACCGACAAGCGGGGTAAGTCAGGCCGATGTACGAAGCCACTCGTAGACTTCTTAAGAGAAAAGTCAGAAGCTGACAGAGAAATTAGACAACAGGAGCTAGAAATAAGAAAGCAAGAGCAACAAAGCCAGCAGCAGGTGTTTCAAACACTGTTGCAAAACCAGCAGCAGATCAACGGTATGATCCTTGCTGTGGTTCAGAAAATTCTCGATGATAAGTGAACGTCACTTTTTATTTGTTGTGTATAAGCTTAAATGTAGAAAAAAAGAATGAAACTTGACCTTTCAAACTTCAATATCTAGCAAGAGTCCCTCTTAAAATAAGAGTTGAAGGGAGTGCCTTTTAATGCATTAATAATTCATTGCGCACTCAAGACCATTCCTTTGTTATTCTGTTCATGTTTGGACTTTAGGCTCGTGTTTACAATAGACCTGCTTGAATTTTTATTTGGCTTTTAGACTTACAGTACAGGGATACAACAGAGAGATCAATGAGGTAGATCTAAAAGTTGGGGGGAGTTGTAGTGCATGGGAAAGACGAGGTATGTCTTGCTTTTCAAAACGAAATTCTGCAAAACAATCCGCTATGCTCATTTCCGCAAGATCAAAGGCAGGATAGCTTTCGTAGTCGAAATCGGGATTTTCAGACTGGAACGAATCATTCAAAGTAAGAAATTCTTCGTCTGCGATAATCTTACTGTCATAACATGTCACCAGGAGATCGCGGAGTTCTTTAAAACTTGCCATCTATCACTAAATTCGCTTTTTTCACTCTAAATTTCGTGTTGATTTGTGTTATGTTTACCCCGTCGCACAGAAGGTGTCAGCTAAAGTATTTTTGATTTTGGCGGGAACGGTGTCAACTATTCTTAGTCCTCCTCGGTCAATGGCGTTGCCGTCTCCCCGAAAACTGCGATGCTAAAGGTCCCTATTGCTCTCTAGGCAAAGACGAGTGTGACAGCGGTAAAGTACAACCACTAACGTGAATTCCTTTCATTACGCTTATCCCATTGCGTTGAATTTGTCAAATCCAGGTGAAATCTCCTCGAAGTTCCTAACGATAATTGATCGTCAAGTTAACGCCCTCTGTGCTAAGTCGCATTAGGACAATTACGTCACAGAGACTCAAAGATCTATACCATCGACTAGAGTTGATTTTTCCTTATTTAAAACCTACTGTTTTTTTTTTGACCTTCTTGTTGTTGTCGTCGTCGTGGATGCTTAAGCTCCCTAATCCTTAGCTTACCGACAGATCATCATAGTTTACAAGATATTTTGCGATACACTTGCCTCTGGTGCTCTTGTCATTACAGTCGTCTCCTCTACGTTAAACTCGACGTCTGGCGCAGGTTCAAGATCCTACATTAGACAAATAAAAAATGATTAAAAAAAAAATGAAAGAAGCCTTGTAACTTATCGACTCTCATTATAGCCAAGCCTATTAATAAATCTTTAAGTCTGTTAGTTTTTGAGGCATCCCTTACTGTAAAAAATGACAAGATGTTAAGAACGAATGTACTGGGAAGACATTCAGAAGGCGTCTTTATAAACTTTTTGCGCCTATTAAAAATGAAATTCTCCTTAAAAAATTATTGTATTCATTTGCAGTGTACTGGCTTGTTACTTAGTGGGATTTGACTCCTCTTTTTTAGTTAATATAGGCTTTACAATTTTGTACCAAATTAACGCCGCTTGACAATAATTGAATGTTTTGCTCAAAATCACGTTAGCGTGTTTATTATAAATAAAGTTGATTTTCAAATGCAATCGCTCCGTCTGTGCCTTATTGCTACTAATTTCGCGGTCACTTAAGTTTACGAAAATCGAAAAGATATATTCGGTGAAACTTAAATTTCGCAATTTTTGCGAAAAATGAGGATTCACATACTTAGATTCTTTTTCATTTCACGACGAAAAATTTTAAAGAACAATTATTGTAAAACGAAACTAACAACATTATCGTTTTCAATTTTGACAAAGTTCAATGTTATGACCTTATGTCCCATACATATGAAATTTACGATATGTCTGTTTTTATACTATTTGGCGGCATTTATATCTGAATAGCAGGCACCGTCAATGTCTTCAAATCATCAATCACTCTTCAGGGTAATATTATTGCACAAGGTTTTAAATCTCGCATCGATAATTTTAGCGGGACTTAAATTTCCTTGGAGGGTATATTCCTCAAGGGCGCTTAAATCACTCGCTGTATCCAAATAGTAAATAATGTTAAAGTCAGGGTGTATCACTTACGTTTTGACCCGCAGACGTAAGAGTGATGTTACACGGAACGATTCGCAACGACGACTTTCAGCGCAACACAGCTTTGCAATGTCGGAACAATGTTGCAAGCCTTCAAAACAATATTGTAACAAGGTCGCGAACCATCTCGTGTAACATCGCCTTAAGATAAAGTTATTGCGTACCTTGAATGCAGTCGGGGCAGAGACGATCGAGGGTGTTTTTTCTTCTGGTAAAAATCCAAACATTTCGTCAACCTAAGAGACAAATACCGAATGTCAGAACAACAACAACAATCATCAGGTTTGTAATATATTACTAAGAGGCTCTTTGAGGTGGAGAGGCATCGCGTGACAAGCTTAGCTGAGCATGCCTGACATGACAACAAGAGTCACTGAGCATGATTGAGAAGCACTGAACACTGGACCGGGAACTGTACCTGTTAAGTAGTTCAAGTTTAAGTAATGAATCATTATTGATAATTAATAACTGCGTTTAGTATAGACATTGAATTGCAATTCTGTTTGTTTCCTCTCCACCAGTTGCAGTTTCTGCGTTGTCAATGAAGTTAAAATATACTTTACTGCAAACAATGTTTGTGCGTGATCAGACACACGCCTTATCACAAAAACGTTTGTACATAACAAATTCGATAGTTAATCAAGCCAAAGCAAAGGAAGTATATTATATAACCTATTAATTATAATTACGAAACAGTAAAAAATACGCTGGACAAAGATTATTAGAATCTATGATTGACTGATAAGTATCATCGCGGATTTGTTGCGCTTACAGAAATGGACACGAGAATGCTACAAATCAAAATGCGAAGCCTTCGGAGGAGTGACAATAAACTGAATTGAAGTTTCAAGATGCACTGGACCAAGGCGGGCATTGGCAGATAACGATCTTCCACAAAAAAAAGGTGACGCGGTGTCAGCCTGCCCGCATGCTATGGCGGCAGACCGGTACAGCGAGTCACGCGAAATTTTACAAGGAGTATTAACACAACGACAAATACCAAGTTACGACAAAAGATTAACCAAAAAACCAGTTGACTTAAAGGGAAAAGTGATAATCTTCAATTCCTTAACAAAACAGCATGCAAGGAAAACAAATGAGTGCGATGGCCAGTCACGCGAGAACATAAACAAACGAATGCAATTGATGAGCGAAACTCAGTACTGCTCTTCGTGGAGAAACACAACTGCTCAATTGTTTTTTACGATTAGCCGTTTTCGTTCAAACTAAAACAACATATAGAATTAGCAGCAACAACAGACTTAGACGCTGGAAAACAAAGCTAGTTAAGATAAGCCGATCACTTCCAAAGTCGAAAACGTTTGCAAACTTGTTTCCCTTTTGCGCGTTAAAAATCTAAAAACATACTGCCACGTCGGAAGATGTCCAGCTTACTCCTTCCTCAACTTCATCTTTAAGTGCTAAAATTGCTTTCAGTAACGTTAACTCTTCATCCTCGCTATCTTCAGCCAGCTCAGCATCGATATCATCTTCGGTGACATCCAATTTATTATTGACTTTATCAGCATCGTCCGAACTGAGAAGAAAGTCTTCAAATTCAACTGTTCGTCTTTCTTTTGTTTCTTGGAAGAAACCCTCAAATCCTTGGATGTCCATATACTCAGGAGATTCGACTGATCTCTCAGGACTTGATCGAGGGCTGGGAAAATCCATCTTTACTATTACGTTGTTGAGATTACAACACCATAAGAGGAGATGACTTATGCGTACGGTGGCGATATCTTAAATAGACTCAGGTTATCAAATTTCACTCCAAACATTCTCTGAGGTTAAACAGCAGATTAACATTCTTTAAGCAGTATCACCCTCGTGTGACCACCATTTTTCAAGTGATGAAAGTCACGTAATAAGCTTCTATGTTTGAGGAGCCTTATCCATAACTGTTAGCTACTGTTGGCCGCCCAGTCATTCATCATTATAACTACAGCACCTGTTATGCTGTTTACTACAGATATAAGTTGTACAGAGCGAACCCATCCTTAAGAACTGAAGTTGACCATTGAGGTGGAAGATGACGAGCTGTTACGTTACATTTTGTTTTTCAACTTTGGTTCTGGATAAAGCTGTGGATTGTACAATGGCACTCCGACGCCAGAGCAGCGACTTCCCAGTAAAATGTAAAAAACCGAAGTCTTACGACCATAAAATAACCACTCTAGATGAGCCAATGACAAGCGCAATAAGTATCATTAAAATGATGGTACATATTTATATACAACGCAACGTGATTAACAAACAACAATAAAATTTCAATTACGGAAAAACAATAGCCTCTCACACAACCCGTCATGCTTCGAAAACGAATTTTTAAATCTCATCAACAGCATTTATTACACACTCATTACTCTAGCTATTGTTGTCGCTTTTTCGGAGACATCTGTGGTCCACTTAGTAATTAGAGGTTATTTCAAACAGTACCTATACCCAGAAAGTAGCTGTCAGCTTTGCTCCCTTTTAATTCTTTCAATGAACAATTTTTTTCGAATTTCACGCTTCCTTATCACTGTTTGAGATTGTAATAGAGATATCAGTAATTTTGGTTGTTGCCTTTTTTTTAAAATTTAGAGCTTAACAAATGCCGTAGGTAGCGTAGGTGTATAGCAACTGGGTGGCCCATAGACATCACGACATTTTTTTTATCGCTCATGGCATCTGTTTTCTTCACTTGCTTTAGCGCAGCTCTCTCTCCCCCTCTCTCCCTCTCTCTCTCAAGTGGAGCGCCACAGAAGAGCACCAGAGGTAATAAAATTTGGTTATCCATGCACCTCAATTTTTTGATGTCACAAACTCATCCGTCTGTACGTTCCCCCTTCTTGTTAGCGTATGTGAAACGTCACACTTACTGTAGCTTGGGAGTCCAAAGCATACATGTATACATATTATATCTGAAATTAGACATCCGTATTATGTTCAATTGACAGCTGCCGAAACAATGCATGTCTTTATCGCAGGCTCAGGTGTTCAACAAATTGAGGCTATGTGTATTAAGTAGCTACTTGATGTATGGGCACATACATCAGGGTTGCCACTCATCAAAACGTCAAAATTCCCTGACTTTTCCCTGACTTTTCACTGACCCGGCTTTATTAATGAGAAACAATCAATGATTACATTCACTTTAGCGTTTTTTGTAGGCCATCGATATTTTTCTCTTAATTTTCAACCTCTTTCCACTTTTCGTGGAAAGAGGAAAAAGGAATTTGGAAGAAAGCATTCACAACGAAAACCACGGACCATAACTACTGCATGTGTCAGGCGTAGAGTGTCAAATTGATCGCTTTGTTTGCTTTGCATCCTTTGTCGACACTAAAAACGGCTGTGTAGCAGACTACCTTGTAACTAGTGAGCGCTTAACTTAACGATTTTTCTGGTCAGGTGTCTGCGAATGGAGGTTAAACCTGGGTTTCGGGACCCAGGAAAAGTGTCCCTTTCCCCTGAATAGAGGTATGCCTTCAATTGATGTAACAAATACAAAGATTATGTGAACATTTTTCCGGGACCAAATTTTCTGCCCCTGAATGGAGGAGTCCCCAGTGTAGAGGTGTCCCAAAAGAGAGGTTCTACTGTAATAATTATATAAATAATAACATCAGGTGATGAAAAGGGATGACATGAGAAAGAAAGTTTTCATGTCGATATCTATGGGCCATCATAGCTTACCATTTTCGAATCATCAACGTCTTCTTCTCTTCGCTTTTTAGCCATGGCTTCTGCCACTTCGATTTCGTGCTTCTTTTTCTCTGCCTCGCGTTTCTTACGTTCATGTTCCTCTTTTTCTTCTTGTTCGATCTTCGCCATCCGTTCCTTAAAGAACCACAAAACTAAAGCGTTACAAAACGTTGAGGGGACAGTTTCGGCAGACAACATTAATTGAGGAAATTAGCACTTGAATTCTTAATCACAGTAAGCGAGAAAGAATACACCAAGTACACACTGGCATGGTTGCCATAGCATAGGATTCAAAATTTCCCTTTTTTGTCTCTAAAAAATAAAGCTTCCTTGCTATGTAAATACAAAGTGATATAATAGCGACCACCAGCCTCCCCTTTACAGCTGTTCTTTCAATTTTCCTGTCTTTTCTTTATAAATATTCTAAAACTTTTTACCTATCTTGAAAATGAAAGCAGCTCGCCACTGATTTTCATTGATGGAAGGAGATTCAAAGAGACCTTAAATGCTCTTTCCAGCCTTCAAGGACATAAATCAGTCGTTATAATTTTGAATGTCCCCGACTTTTCTTCCAAATTTCAATTTTCCCCGACTTAACTTGAAATTTCCTCACTTTTGCCTTGACCTTGACGATGGCTAGGAAAACAGGATGGATTGGTCTAACGCTAAGATGTCGCCAGCTAAAGTACTTTGTTTGAGCATCAATGTATTTAGCCTGCACGGAGTAATTGGGGACAGTTTTTTTACGTCACCTACTGGAGACTGGACCGCCATTTTGCGTGGTCATCCGAGCCACGCTAAGATCTAGCCGCTTGCAGTGCAAAGGGAGTACCTTCATTTCTCAGTTAATTTTGACTGCTTAAAGACCCTGAGTATTGGTCCGGCCCCGGGAATCGAACCCGCGACCTTCCGATCTGCAGTCAAGTGCTTTACCGACTGAGCTCATCCTACTGCGATAATAGCCCCGTTCCTTGTGGCTCCACAGACATTTTAAAGTAAGACAGCAAGCACAACCACCGAATTCCTCAAGACTGAAGACATTATATTACCCCAATAATAAATAATATTACCTGATGAAGTCTTTCGGCTTCTTTCCTCGCAGCATCAGCCGCCATTGCTTTTCGAAGTCTTTCTTCTTCCAGCTTCCTTAATCTTTCTGCTTCTTCTCGCTTCTTTTTCTGTTAGAATAGGGACACTTTAATTTTTCTTTTTACGTACTTACTACATGGAAATAAAGCAGTGATCTTTTTCTATTTACAGTGACGAACGTTACCATAATCATTTCTTACCTCCACTCTTAATTCTTGCGTCCTTCGTTTAGCAAGCACCATTCTTATTCCCGACTGTATCTTAATAATGCTCTGCAGCCGGTTTTTGTATTCTTGTCGCGCTATAAACCCACGGCAGAATGCTTGGAAGACTTTCATTCGTTCACGCAGGGTGACATATTTCACTGCTAAGACACGAGCTCTGTATGTTGCCTGGAGACGAGCCATACCACAGCGAATCTGAAAGGATAAGTAGTGAAATTTCCTTAATACCGCTTATTAAAAATAGGTGGGACAGCCTTGGAGTTCGTTTGAATTGAGGTGTGTATAGAGAAAATCCGATTTATTCGACAGCTCTTCCGTCATTACACCAGTCAATTTCGTAGCCCCTACCCTTTTCCAGACATTTTTTTTACCATCTACTCGGCAGACACTTCACTGAGACAGACCAACTAATTGCAGTTTTCAACGCTGTCCTTCTTAGAGAGAGTCGAAGGGACGCAACACAAAACATTTTTTTTTTCAAAAATGAAACCTTTGACACATTACTAACCCTCCTGTAATTTCGTCTCTCACAGAAGCCTCTCCACGTCTTCTGAATCATAATAGAGCCACTTCTCATCTTAACGAAGCGTTTGCGAAACAAAAAGCCCCGAACAACTTTCTGGATCAAAACGGCGCGTTTGGTGAGAAGTTTGTCTCTCTCTTCTTCGAGCTGAATATCCTGTGAGTCCTGTCAATAATAACAGAAAAACTGTCAATTAATACATAAACTTGCTGCCTGCTTAAATCACATGGGATAAATAAGCTCTCTACCCCTCAGAGGTCCCTGCTTAGTATTCCGATAAAAATAGCAATAATCAAAAAATTGTATGCGCGCGGTGGACGATGGTAGTCTCCCGCATGCTTTCTTTTTCCCCTCTCCCCAGCCTCCCCACGATACAAAGAGGCCCCTGTAGAGGAGAGAGGTCACCAGCCAATTTAAACCCTGTTTCTGTGCAACACTATTCAAGATTCATATCATTACTCAATTGACTTCCCAGATATGAGTAGGATTTACCGATTTTGCCTCTACCTCAGTCCCTGGGAACTGCAAACCACTTCTTATAACAGCGCTTATAATGATACTGATAATAGTTAATATCAATTTCTTTTGTACCTTACCTTGAGAAAAATCTTGGTTTTGCCAACCTGCCAATCAGCATTTCCAAGAAGTCTCTTGGCTATTGCTACTGCGGCATTCTTAAGAGACTGAGAATCAAGCTCTTTTCGTGACATTCCTTCATTTAACATGTAATAACGGTCAGTAAACTCCTTAAATGTGTGACGCATTGGGTAACCAGCCTTCCGTATCCTGTAAGAAGGTAAAAAGAAATATAAACTAAATTATGTGTAAATGAACTTTGCTTAACAGGTTGATCAGCACTTTGTAAAATTCGTAGACGTTTGGTGCACCCGTACCAAAGACGGTCTACAATGCCACAGTATATCATGGGTGGGTTACTAGTCCTTTGCATGCCGTCATCACAGTATATTATCGTCAGTACTTAATTAAACATCTGGAGAGCCAGGAAGAGACAATATGGAGACAATGTTCTTATCCTGGAGCACAAGGCACCCGCACTGTACCTATACTAGCAAATATCAGCAAGAGAAACTAAGCACAGTAAACAATTTACCAACCTTATTGTCTCCATCATGCCTGAATATCGCAACTGGCGGCAACATAAAAGGCGATCAAACCTCTGAAAGGATTAAAATAGTACTTCTGTTTAAAGACATTTCGCTTTCAACCGATTCACTATAAATTTTAGGAAGGTCGAGGTTGGCTAATAAGTGCAAAGATAAGCCATTGTGTCGCCCTTAACCTGGTGCATTCGTTCCAGTTTTTGTACTGGCTGTAATTTTTAACCCTATGGATTAGGATAACTAGTCAAGGGAACCATGCAGAGGCTGGCACTAAATTGTTATGATACCTACCAATGGTTTCTTGTAGTCATTGGGTTTAATACAGCGTACAAAGAAAGGATGACACGAGGATAAGGTCCTCATGAGCAAATCAAGAGACTTCTTAAATTGAGTTCCAAGAGTTGGAGAACGCTTTCTGGTATCTTCACCCTTAAAACAAAACAAGTTTTTTAGCTCTTTCTCTGTCGCGATTAACTCATTCAGGCCTAATTAGCATGAAGCAAAAAGGTTATCAGCCTATTACATATTAGATTCTATATGGAATGCCAGTACATGACCAACTTACTCCCAGTAATTTCAAAGGTCACTCCTATGGTTCGCTGGTATTCACTCGGCTTAACCCGTGTGTCAGTAGCAAAAATGTAGCTAAGAAGGTCCAAAGACTTAGTAACCGCTAGACCAAAGTACCTTTTATCTATTCTTATCTAAAATACGATATTCTGAAGAAAGGAATGTAGTTTCCTTACGTTAGGGGTGGGGTAGGGTCAGCGGTGCTTTACTGACAGGAAAAAACACCGGGCAACATCAGCAAAACATACAAACCATCGATCTATCTTTGGCAAACAGCTCTAGGAGGAAATTTGACTTGCTCGTTCCCACCAAATCAATAAGATCAGGACTAAAGGTATCGCGATTCTTGTCAAGAAAACCTACCAATTATAACAAAGAAAAGTTTTGAAAAATGACTTAATACTAAGGGTAGCAAAATTACTGGTAACCCAGTAGTTTTCACTGTGGTCAACAAATAAAGGACAGAAACAAAATAATAATTGAAATAATTATTATGTTTATGATAGACATAACAAGGTTAAGAATCCAAGCTGGTCCGGCAGAGGCTAAACAAGTTGGCTATTTACACCGGGGGTCAATTGAATTAAACTTTTACACGTGTAATTTACGAGTGCAGCTATTGTTCTCGGGCTCTAAAACAATGGCTACACTTGTAAATTACACAGGTAAAAGTTTTATTAAATTGACCCCGGGACTACTAAGAACAAATCCAGGAAGCGGTCAGGGCAGGGAATGAACCTCCGACAGGATTCCCACACGACAAAGGATAAACAAGGTTCTTCGTAGTGTGAAAGACAGTGCCGCTTTTACTACCATTTTTCCTTTATAAAAACTCAAAGCTATAGACAGTGATCAAGACCTCATGGACAAAGTTTCCTTTTAACTCGTATTTTTAGTATTCCAATACCACCAGAGGCACAAACATGCAAGTGTTAGCGTAATTAGCTAGTAAATCTGTGACATGCGCTGCCGCAAGCTGAGAATGACTAAAGTTTAAAACTAGTAATAGTTGACACTACAGCTGCCCCCGTTCTGTATATTGTCGGTCAACAGTATTCTTGCTCGTTGTGTAGCTCTTTGAAATATACCGATTCATAATGAAGATTTTCACACACATTCCATACAATAGGTGAGATAAATACAGGAAACGCAAGGTTCCATGCACAGTTTCAGCTCGATTTACAGTACACAACTTTTATCAAAACATTCTCAGTTTCGAGAATAGTTTATTCTAAACCATAACAAAAGATTTATTAGAAGTTGAATTTTTCGCTTATTTCTCTTTCACTTTTTAAATTCAGTTCATTTTATTTGCCGGAAAGTAAGCCTTAGAAATGAAAAGGACGTTTGATCGATTCACTAGTCTTATTTGACACTTTATAACGGAAGGACATCTGTGAGCAGGGAATAAGTCAGCACCCGGGGGGGGGGGGGGTACTGCCATATATGGGCTATATGGATAAGTGCCGCTGTGAAGGGTATGGTTTTCAAGCAGTTTACTCTAGGATAGGGTATATAAATCGGAGCGTTTGGGTCTAGAATAGGGTATCATTTTTCTGGAAATTGATCAGTTGGTTGAAGATTTTACCTAAACTAGGGAAACAGCTACTCTAGGATAGGGGGGATTTGGGGAGTTTACTCCAGTATAGGGTAGCAAAATTCAGCTGAACTAGCTCTGTTATAGGTTAAGGGTTCCAGGGTTCCAGCGGTACATCCCCACCTAGGAATTCCTATAGTACCCCCCCGGGGTCACCACAGAATTTGATTGTCGGCGAATTTCTGTAATCGTCCACCGTTCTGCTAGTGATATGCTAGCCGTTGTTCACTCGTCTTGCTTGTTTGGGACTGAGTCTTATTCCGGTCAAAGAGAGAGAACGAGTGTCTGGCAAGGTTTCCAATATAAATCAAAGATTTGTGAACTCGTGTCTGGAAAAACTCTCCAAGTGTTTATATATACACAGTTAAACGCACCTTATAACCTCATCTGCGCTTAACGACTGTCATTTTGGTCCATAACTTTCAAAAAAACTGCTCCACAGAATGTCACTGCGTAACGCAAAAGAGTACCGAAGTATGACTACACAATAAATGTCACAAAATCTACCTGACCGGTCCCTTCGGGATTTTCTGTCTTTACGTCATCCTAACCATTTCGTACTTGCCGGCGCAAACAATAGAAACGTCATCATTACCTACCGATTCCTCGCGGCCCCTGTTCAAGCAAATCGCGGGGGCAATAATATCGATTACGTCAGTCTAACAACCTGGGGACAGTTGTTCAGAAGGTGGATAATGTTAACCACCGGATAATCTCTATTAAGTGAATAGAAAAATTGGTTTGCCTAATACGTATCCACTGGAGAGCAATTTATCTGGTGGATGGCGGTCCCCAGCTTCTAAATGACTGAGGCCTTGGCCGAATTGCGCTAAAAGGGTTTTCGTTATTGCCTTTCCTGTACAAAGAATACATCCCGAAACGTTAACACGCATCACTTCCTTTTACAAACATCTGCTGCATTATTCAGTTGAGCACAAAGTGCTTCACAGAATATAATCATTTATTAAATCTAAAGTGAATGAGTAAGTAAAGTTAACGCTAGAATGTGTACAATGTAAACCCAAATCATTAACTTCGTAAAGAACATAAACGGTTATGAAATACGAAACCTTTTGCACTGTAAAAGACCGTTCCTGCGAAATGTCGAATACCAAAGATGGGCGTTCTTGAATTGCCTGGAGGAATGAACAGTTTGGATCGCTTGTGATGCGTGTTGAGTTTTTGTAGCATTGTAGTATCCGTTCCCTAACAAAAGTAAAAAAAAAAAGTGTGGGGAAATTCACAAAAAAGTGTGTTGCATTCTGTTCCATGCTTGAATGGCTATAAGATGCTTTAGAAGAAAAAGCAAGGTACATGTTAAAGTCGTTGAGCGCAACCCTTTGTACAATCATTCAAATAATTTGTTGTTTTGGTTCCTTAACCATAACAAGACGAGAAGAAATCCTCACGTGTAATACTAAATTGCCTGACACCTGAAATAGGCAAATAAGCCGCCTTGGTACTGATTACCGATCTAAATATAATTCAGAGATGTGAACACCATTAAAAAACTCTTTACCTTTGGAAACCTGCTTTCTTCATCTACTAAAGCTATAATGTTCATCGGTTTCTGGGCCAATAAGTCTAGAACCTGCTGATTGTCCACGAATTCTATATGCTGCCACTTAATATCTTCTTTGTTATACTCCTCCTGAAAATATTGAAATCCCAAGAGAACAAAGAAATTAACGACCACAGCCTCTCCCGGTCTTTTCTTATCCAACTTCAAGGGGGAAAATGTAAACTCTACGACCCTAATAATGCAAAAGGCATAATGCATTGTTTTACTTGGATCTGCAGCCAGGTTAATTCGAATCGCGAGTTTCCTAATTGTAAAAAAGAAATAATCTCTAATCTTTAAGAGTCAACTACTGACACAACAGAAGATTTTAAATGGTTTGCAAATAGCATGATATTTCTTTCCTGTAAACAAGCTACATTTGCTAGCTCCTAAGCTAACAAAGATGTATATTTTTATATAAGCCTTTTCTGTCGAAAAGTCAGTTACTAAGAGCCAAAGGTTTTGAATTAAAAATATTTTTGCTTAAAAGTCCGCATTTTTTGAAGGGTACCTTTTTCACCTTTTTAATCATGCATACCGAGTGACATTAACGAAAACGGTAAAATTCAATCATTGTATCCTTTGAAACGTAAACACAGAAAATTAACTTTTCTGCTGTACACTGTTTACAACAACTAATTAAAATTAACCTATTGAAAAAATCCCAAAACTCACCTGCTCTAGTTTAAAGATGTGTTGTACGAAGAACTGCTGAAGATTCTCATTGGCATAGTTAATGCAAAGCTGCTCAAAACTTAAAGCACAGCAAAGAAAAATGTTATCTGAGTTAATTGCTCTCAGAGTTACAATTGTAAAGAGAATAATGCTTAGCTAACTATAACAGAGACGGATAAGCATTTGGCGTTTAAAACTGTGATTACATAATTTCCCAATTACATGGTATACATACATAGAATAGCTCGACCATGGTGAGGGTGTTTTCTGCTGTGTTTGCAACAGTCAATTAGCCTGTTGAAAACCGCTACTAATGAACTTTGTTTACTGCTTTTATTACCTTACACACTGATTGAGGTCTATGAAGGGGTGTTTGGAGACTAAATCAATTTTAATGACGACAGAGATCAATCAGCTTAACAGCCAACTAGACCGTTAACTGTTAATATGACACTGCTCAATAACTTTATTACTTTACCTATTGGAGTCAAAATTTTCAAATCCAAAGATATCAAGAACACCAATAGACGATCTTAATGCTCTAGGTTGTTCCTAAACAACAAAAAAGAAATGAAAAGCATGGTTCATGAACTTGTTGACAACGATAACAATCAAACGTGAGCTGTTTGACCTGAATTTTTAGATTCTAAAGCTTTGGACTTCTTTCCGTTTATGGCGGCAGTTTGACTCAGTTAAGAAAGACACACCTACAGCCTGTATGCGAAATATAGAAAAAAGGAGCTGGTTTATGTAGGCCTCAACAAATCTATGGACACCTAAACAATCAACTAAAACTTTAAATACACCTTCAAAGACACTTCATGTTAACAATCACGCTAATGTCCAACTTTATAAGCCGCACCTTGTTTCTGAATATAGCAGAGTTGATTTTGCTGACAATCCAAACAAATATTCTTCCGTAGATTCCTTTAACAAAGGCATCTCTGATGTCCACTGCTTTGACGGCGCTTACTGGAGAAAAGATCATTTCACCACGTGCAAATGTGGATCGGCTCGTAAAAGCTTCAACAAGACTGTCGCTATTAACCTGCAGGGTGAGAACAGGAAATTTTTTAAAACGTTTAAACGTAATTACTCTGCACCAGAAAAAGAGTAGGCTCCCTTGGGATGAAAGATCATTCCCTCCAGACCGGCTCCAGTGCCCAAACTAATAGGTTATAGCAATCAAGACATGCTAACACTATTTCCACCTCCTCCTCTCCTCTCCCCCCCACCCCCACCTCCACAAATAAAAAATGGAATATGATTATACTTTTTTAATGACAGAAAAAACAAAATGACAACAGTTCGAGATAGTTATAACGTTACTTGTTTTCCCGATTCAGATACAACAAACACAACTATCGACTCCTAGTGCACTAAACGATATTCTATGTCATAACATACATGTAAGCCCAAATATTGCCTGCAGCCAGGTAGATGACTTCTTTATCTCACCTCTAAGAGTTTAGCCACCAGTTTTGCTAGCTTGTGATCTGTTACATCACATGCATCAACGGTGCTTTTTATAGTGGCTACAACACAAACCACAAAGTCATCTTTAAGTTAGCATATCAACTCCAACTATCAGTGGGCATAATTAACGTATGCCTGCCTATTCTCATTATAACAATAATAAAAAAACACAAACACACACATCAGCAATCAAAGGACAATGAAAAAAATTCTTATACCTCACCATCAAAAATTACAGATATCTACATCTTTTACTAGAGATAATAGCTTAACTTACTTAGATTTGAACATTTCCATGAGTGTTGAGAAGAACTTCGCCGCCAGGTCACTCAGGCGATTCGAAATCACGCATTAAATCGTGTGGAGCAAAAAAATCACCCGTGTAAACAGGCCTTCAAATTAAATTTTGTTGTAGTATTTCTGATAGGATAATATATTTGTAAGACCATTCTGCTTTGATTAGTTGGTGGTGATTCTTAAAGTGTTGCCGGGGGACCATTGATCATTACAATTCACTGACATTTGCCCTCCTTTGGCTGTAACCAGCGTTGAACTGTATCTTGCATCTGAAACCATTTTCTTACCTCCGACACAAATTAAAACACTACCTTGCATGTACATGTAAGCAACTTTTTACCTTCAAATTCAAGGTTTCCAATGTGTAGAATAGCAGCAAGCAACTTGAAAATGCTCCAGGTGTCCTCCTCACTAAATGTCAATACCTACCATGAATAGAGTAAGTTAAAAACACAAAGAGCACCTTTAAAAAAAGTCACTCAAGTAACATTTACAGCTACATTAACTCAATGTTAGCCTGCCATCATGCCTTCCTTATATCTTTTCTATGTCTTCACAAAAAGAAAACGACAACAATTTTAATACCTTCATTGCTCCCCTGATAATCGCATACTCTTCCACATCATCCATTCCATCACACGAAATGCAGTTGCCTTGAGTAAGGTAGTAGTAATCTGATGCATCTGTTAAAGAAAGCCTTTCCCTTTCATCCGGTAACATACCAGAAAGCATCCGGTAAAATATGTGGTAATTTCTTTCATCAGGCATCTATAGATAGAAGGGAAGCGAAGGAACGCGACATATTTTTTAGTAGTTTTACAATTGACGATATCTTCCTTCTAACGTTCACAGATTTGAGGCAGGTCCTTGCCATTATATCGATTGTTTTCATTAAAATCAACCAACCTTTTTTTTGCCCTCTGCAGACAGTTTACACTCAGTTGACTACCCGTTACTACCGTGCTTTGACCCTTTTGAATAATTTTTTTTTCAGTAATTTGAAATTTGTGAAATTGGTTTAGGTAATAGCATGATTTGTAGTGATATTTGACATAAATACCACGAGTTATATTTCAAAATTGTTATACGAAATTTCACGAGCCGTTAGGCGAGTGAAATTTGAGACAATTTTGAAATATCACGAGTGGTATTTATGCCAAATATCACGTACAAATCATGCTATTATTTGTTTATACTACTACCTGCAAAAGGTTTGTAATTTTCACATGTAGGTATTTCAAATTAAGCCTAAATACCACTGCTCTAAGCCAATCAAATTGCAGTAATTTTTCATGTAGTAGTATAATATCATAAATAACACTGCCAAAGGCATCTCAGGCTACACTACACTTGACCACAAGCTGACTTTTTGAGCAAAAAAGTCTCAAAGACGATCGCACACAAGTCATCTTTTTGAGCTACGAGCCAAAAGAGAGAACTGATCGATGACCCAACCAAAACGTAGTTGTGTTTTGAAAAAGTCTGTTCCTGCAATAACGTGGAGGATTTCAATTGGATTATGTGTAAACAAGAAGCCACCTTTGCACAGCATGCAATGCCTCAAACAATTCACAGAAAAAAGCTTTCACAAAAGTCTTCCCCTTGGACTTTTGAATGCGAGTCAGTTTTGCAGTTTGATTCGTATAGCTTAAAAGAGAATAGATTTTTTGCAAGACGAGTGTTTCTAACGTGTTCGTAAGTGAGTGACTCATAGGTTATTTTTGTTCAAGTGATATACACATTATGTAGTGCTTTAATACTCGTAACCTTTGAAGTACTTACTTGGTAGACAAGCCTGGATTTTTCTAACAAATATTGATCGATCTTTGCACCTTCAATGGAACCAGTCTTATTGAAATGCACGTCAATATATTTACCAAACCGACTGGAGTTATCGTTTCGGACCGTCTTGGCATTTCCAAACGCTTTTTAAGAAAGAAAAGAATAAATGTTTTAATAGTAGATAGGACAGTAGATAGATACAATTAAATCTTCCAAGTAAAAAGCTCGTGCCCTGCTTGAAAATCTGGACGCTCATTGGATTGACTGGAGGGTGAAACGGGGTAATCTTGTACAACTCAAACAGTTTCCTTCCCCTTGGGTCCCCCTGTGTATGAAAGAGCGAAACAAAGCTTATTATGCTCTACATGTACATAATAATTGCCAAAGTGAACATTTGATTGTTCAACGCCAAATACATAATTGTATAGATTTCAAAACATGGTGAAACGTACATTGTAACTGAAATAAAAATGCGGGGTATTAATCAACACCTTTGCAAGCATCGTTATATACATGACTTTACCGGCTGTCACAACAGGTATTATTGGGGGCACTAAGGAGGTTTTTGGGTGCACGTAACCGGCACAAGACACAGGTTACGATGTAACCATACACATGTTATAAAAATGAATACAGTGTAAATACCCTAAGCCGGAATTTACCTTCTAACACTGGATTAGCTTCTAATATCTGCTGTTCAATCCAGGAATGCTGTCCACTGACAGCAGCAAGAAACTGTAAAATGAGTTTGGTAGACTCTGTCTTGCCGGCTCCACTCTCACCACTATAACACAGTTCAGTATTATCATCACATGAAAATGTCAACAAGCCGATCATTAACAAACAGACAATTACTGCATGAGTTGGTAGTCACCTTCAGAGTCAAAGTGAGTTGTATCCCGTCAGTTGATCGTATTATACTCTGGCTCTTGACCTTTTTGGTCAATTACGTCACGATGTTATTGGTCGTCTGTAAGTTAAGCCATGACGTCATTGGCTATGAAGACTCGTGATGTAATTGGTGCGTTTTGAAGTCAACAGTCACATTGCTGAACACCATTTACAGACGAAACATCAAATCGACTGGGACTCCGCGACATGTATTACGTATTCTACAGACTACTATCAACGACTCACTTTAGAAAGCTGGTTTACTAACTTAGAACAAACGCTACTGAATCGTAGTCAACGACTTATTGACGAAATCAAGCAAAACTAACTACGAGACAACGACTGGATGACTGACAATTATTTTGACTAACAATAGACGACTTTTTGACTGTGACAAAACAGGGATCGAAACGCACCAATTACATTACGAGTCTTCATAGCCAATGACATCACGGTTTAACTGACACACGACCAATAGCATTGTGACATAATTGACCAATCAGATCAATAACCAGAGTATAATACCATCAACTGACGTGATACAACTCACTTTGACTCTGAAGGTGACTACCGCACAGGTTGTCGAAACGTCAGTAGCTGTCGACTACAACAGTCCTATTCAGGACTAAGTTCACCCGGAAAAATAAGACGCGTCCTCAGTAAGACACAAACTTCCCCTGTAAACGGCACATGTCGTCTGAAATAAGACGCGACTTAGAATACCTCTTAACACCTGTTCTTTGATAAGACGCGTCCTACCTAAGACGAGAAAAAGTTCGTGTAAATGACCTTAGCCTCTTAAAAAAGACTTAAAAACAAGACGCCAACGCATTGTACGCATGAGCTCTTTTAAAATTGAGCGGGAAAATTTTCGCATGCTTTGCCGAGGGCTGGTGGGAAAAAAATTGTTTACATTACAACGCCTTTTTGAGTCCGTGGGTTGCTACCTACGATTTATAATTTGATTCTTCGCTGTTTCATTATTATGAGCATGCTTACAAGGGGGGAAATGATCAGATCAGCTAGAAAAACATTTTTTGATCCTCATAAATTTGACAGGAATCTAAACAGTCTTACAGTACTTCTGCAGTTCGAATTCCTCCCAAAACTAAAAAACTTCGCAAGCCTGATTACAAAATCCAGCCCCGAGCTACTGGACACAATATTTTCTTTGCATGCTGGATTGACACTGAACCTTGAAAAATTCAAATGCCTTGGAGATGGAGTCAAAGCATACTTTACTATAGTCACTGTGCTACTCAAAGTACCACAACATACTTAGTCATTAAAACATGATGGAATTGCAATGCAACTGCAGTTATTTACAAGATATAATGATAAACTAACCTGATGATTATGCACTGATCGTGTGCTTCTCTTTTCATATGAGTGTAAGCATTATCTGCCACAGCAAAGATGTGTGGAGGCAGGTCACCCAGTTTTCTATTCTTGTATTTTTTAACATGTTCAGCATCGTAGATGGGGTAAAGTTGATATGGATTAACTGCCACCAAAATTGAGCCAGTATATGTCTGCAGTTTAAAAAAGGCTTTTTCATTACCTGTCTTATAAGCAGGTAGAATAATAATATTACAATAAAATATATAATTATTTATAAACCACAAAAAACAATAAAAATACCAAAACGATAAAACATGTAAACTTAAATTAATGTCAAAACTCTCAACAGTTTACATACAATAATTTTTTTTTTATGTTTGTGTACATATCCATGTAAATAAGGTTGAAATCCCATGAATCCAATGTAAACCAGTCTCAACCCCTAATTGCAGTGCATACATCAGTTAAACTGTAAACATTTCACATGTAGGCAGGTGAATAAAATGCTCTTTACTCTTCAAATTGGTGAAGATAAGATTTTAACAAGCCATGACATGCAGTGTACAGTGTTTACTGAACATCCTGGCCTTGAGTGGAAGTGAGGCAGGGAATGATTTTATTTTCATAGAAACCTCACTGCTTTTTAGAATGTTAAAACAAAGTATACAAACAAAGCATAATAATTATTATTGCCTTCCTCCTAGTTTAAAGGCTAGGCTGCTCAGAGTATACACTTGAAAATTGGCTTACTATTAATATTAAATTAAGGCCATCAATTCCAAAGAATTTCAATTTTATGAAGCTATTATCTATATCTGGAACAAAGAATAAGTTTTAGACTCACATAAATTTGATGATTGTAATATCTTATGAACAGGTTGTGAAGTATTCCTGCTTCATTTAAGTCTCCAAGCTGAATCTAAAGTAATTCAAAAGAAAATAAGAAACTTGTAAGAAAGAAAATGATTTCTCTGAATGACTAGATCAGTAAATTAAACTTCACTTAAAATGGAAATAGAAATTTAATACACACTGATTTGGTTGAAGTTTCCAATAGCAAACTTTTTCCAACCATTTTTGGCTTCAATGCAGTGTGACTGGTTATAGTCATTTCTAGACTTCCTCATCAATTTCCATTACAAAGTTGTCAACATAACAAAAGACTAAGGCCACCTAGCTGGGTCTGACATCACCTCATTATTTCAAAAATGAAATACCCATTGTATGGGCAGACATACATGCATATGTATTTGAAAAAATTACATAAACAAATACAGCTGTATTTTATAAACATGAGAAGAAATAATGTTTTTGTGGCTCGTGACAGAGTAGGCTGTGCCACCAACAGAACTAAACAGACTAAAACTTCAGGTAAAGTCCGTCTGCCAAACAGTGCCAAAGTCCTTGTTCTGGCCCACATGTGTACCAGGGTTTGAGTATGCACCTTGATTGGCCTGCTAAAAAAGCTATTGTCAATTTGCCAATCAGGTTGAAAGGAAATTCAAAACATATAAATTTTCCAGTAATTCGTTGAATCTGTTTGAGGCGCAGAACAAGGATCTCTGCACTGCTTCGCAGACGTCACTAACCGGGATTAAACTGTCTGCAAATCAGGCTAGTGACAAGGATACAGGATAAGGAGGAAAAGTCATAAAAACCCTTTTTTTTAATGTTGCCTGAAACTTTTGGAATTAGATTTCTCTTAGGTATAGAAAATAAATATTATTTATCTCAGCTTTGCAAGACTTCTCAAATTGTCGTTCATTCACCTTTCATATTATTGCACTGTCAAAACAAGAAAGAAGTTATCAAAATGCTTTAATTTGTGCCTTCTGATAGAAAAATACTTTTCAAAAAATCTACATCTTTGTGTTCAAGTTTTAAAAATTGCTTCTTTTTACATTTATCAATTACCTGCTTTTGAAGTTGTATAAATGATGTACATGTAAAGCCCACCTGATTGCTGTTTGCTGACAAGTTTTTCATGGGGCTCATGGGAGCACTTCATACTAATTTCCACACCACAATTCACAGAAAAAAATATGGACCACTTGAAAATTGATGCCAGCCAACAGATCAGCGAATGCTACCAAGCTGCAGTTTTCAACCATTTTTATTACAAGTTATTACTTTATTAAAAAATTGATCAACTGTACCCCTAACCAAATCGACCAATGAAAACAGTCAATTCCAATGGAATGTCACCTAAGTTTTTGCAAAGGATGATTTATATCTAATGACAATAATTACCATGTCATCTACACCCTTGACACTTGTTGGGTGCATAATCCTAAGTTTGTTGGCCAGAGAGGTTTGGATCCAGTGTTCCTACAAACAGATATTTTCGAAAAATAATTACCAATAATTATTATTGGATGAAGCTGAGTATCATCAAGCTAAAACATGCTTACATCAGGCCATTGATGCTAAGTTCACATTCAATGGCCTGTTTATCGGCAAGTTTAGGAGATACATGTAAAGGGCTGTTCAGCTGTGCAAATATTCTCCAAATAGCAGATGTCATCTGTCGAGTTGTATTCTTGCTGTTCTTGCCATGTTTTTAGCCAATAGTTGTCCTATTTCTTCCTTGTGAAACAAGTGAAATGTTCCACCATTTTGTACTCACTACCAAAACAACTCAACCTTGTCACAGGTCTTCTCGGTTACAAACTGTTCAGTTTTCTGGCAATTACACTGTAGAATTGATGTCATTTTTCTCATATTGAAAAATTCTTCCAAATTTGGTCAACAGTACCTACCTATGATAAATTACCCATGGAATTTTAGCCAATTAGAAATGGAGAAATATTTTGAATGAATGAATAATAACAATATTTTAATAGAGTACATATCAGTCCTATTTCAAACAAGCAATACGTTTGAGATTGTGATTTGTCTTGAAAACATTAGTGCACACTACTGTACTTCTGACATCATCATCCTCATCTGAACTTCTGATCATGACTGTTGAAAAAATAATCCACGATAAACCTCACAAAGATTTTCCCAGGGTAATTAATGCACAGTACCTTTCCCTCATCATCAATGACTTGAATTTGGCCTGAGTCAGCCAGCTTAACAAGTGCTCCAATGGGTAAGTCAAACTCTCCTCCATTAGTGTTGTCCAACCACACATGCTCGCCCTAATAAATAGTTACTGACAGTAAAATTTTCTGGAATGGTAAAATTTAATGTGTTCCTTACATTACAGTTGATCACATTAATGTGTTCAGAGTGGCTGATAAAACCAACTCTTTATTAAAATATAAAATTGAATAATTAAAATAAGAAACACACAAACACACCACCACCAACAACAAAGAGAAACCACAAAAAGCTAAATATATTAAAAACAGAAATAAATAGTTTAAAGCTGGGGGAGGGGTGCTGCTGGGTTTTCCAAATCCTGACCCTATGTTAGACCAAAAAATGTCATTGTCCACACCCTTTTTAGACCTGGGCTGAGTTGCTCAAAGCATGGTTAGCTTTAACCACTGGTTAAGCAGTATAAAACCAATACGTTGTCAAGGTATTAAACGCTGGTTAACGCTAACCATGCTTCGAGCAACTGGGCCCTGGCCTTTAACATCCAGACCCATTTTCAGACCTGAAATAACTTTGATTAGAACACCAACAAAAAGATTTCTTAAAATCCATTTTGAATTTGCATATATTTATCTTCCTTTCTTATTTATTTGGAATTGAAATGACAAATGTTCATACACTCCTGTAGATCCCTCTCAAATTCCTACCCAATTCCAGACCAGAATGTGCAAAGCCTAAAGGGTTTTCGACAATTCCCTGGCTATTCCACATGAACTCACCACCTACAAATAACCGCCTACAAATATTAAACATGAGAACAATTACCGCAGAACACAAACCTTGGATCGGCAAAGTTTTGTTCTTGAAAAACCAAAAAGTCTTGCCTTAATTCTGAGTAGCTTTCATCGTTCAATCATCAAAGCCAAACACAGCAGCCTTGCATTTCCCCAAAACTGTGGGGTCTGGGTACCAAGCAGCACAAATTTCCACGCATTATTTGGCGTGAGTTTTTTCTTTCTCCACCTACTCCAAAGTTTTTGCCACCTACTTAAAACCTTGTTGAAAATCCTGAGCCTATACCCATTTTCAGACTCAAATGGCGCAAAAACCATACCATTTGGGGCGGTATACACTTTTATGGCTTATATAAGGGAGTACCACTTCCTGGAGTTTAAACAGTGATCCTTATAAGTAATTTATGAAGACAACCAGGCTGGTCCTCGGGAATGTCACAATGAAGAGTGATACAATAGCTCATGGAAGTGTGAAGTAACAACACAGGCGGCCCAGACGTAGTATGTGTCACTGAATGAATATATTAATATTCACATGGACAAATTAATGCGATGAGTCATCGAAACTCCAATGAACTAAAATAGTCCAAAAATCAAAATATAACAAAATAAAGCTAAGATACCTTTAACTGAAAGTATCCTTGTCTTTCCTGGCCGGTTAAAGTGGCATTTTGTTGAGTTTTGCAATTGTAGGTACTATCCACTAAAGAAGAATTAAAGGCTGGCTACAAAACAAACGGACCATCTCCACGCGCCTTCACACGAAGCGCTATAAATTCGAGAATAATCGACGAATCCGCTCCAAATTGCCATTGGCTAATCTGCAGGTAACGTGTGCTCCTGCTTCTTGCTCGCTGGCTCCACAAAACCCATTGCAACTGTACAATAATTGCTTGCTCATGAACAATCACTGTTGACCTTTACGCTTCGATATGACCGCAAACTACCAGGTATAATACGCGACGTGAATATTCAAGCTTAGCGACCGCGTTCGCGCAACAATGCAGCACTTGCTATGGGAGGGATGGTACTATTGCTTCTAGGTCAATCAATCGGGAAAATAATATTGAAGCCCTTGTAATTTTTAAAAAGATCTAATTTGCCCTAGGATCACCGAACAGATACGAATTTTATAGCGGAGCTAAAACAACGAGCAGCAGTGGAAAAAGTGAACAAGAACATGTACCACATTTCCTCCATTAAAAGTGAAAACCAGGAAGTTTTCTAGACGTTTCACGTTGCAGTCATGCAAATCAACGGCAAGGAAATGTACAAGAAAGTGTGCTGCAATTAGACCTATTGTTGTTTTTCACAGTTCTGGTCAAGGGCATCCAGCGTTTAATTTTTCTCATTTCACTCACCGGGTTAGGCTATTTTTCATAGAGAGTAAAAAGGAATCCTAAAATTTTCTGATTCAAAAAAGTGATGAAAGAAGGAATCTGAAAAATTATCTCCTTCGTGATACGTTAAATTGCATCTAAAATTTTCGTAATTTCAAAAAGACTCAAGTTCCTCTAGAATGGCCGAACACTGAGATACAAATTTTATAGCACCACATAGAATGCATTTCTATAGAGCTAAAAGTACTTTATGAATAGCTACAAAAGTGTTTTCAAAGTATCTGAGGAAACAGTCCTTGGGTGCCCCTGTCTGGTTGCCTTCTCCGCTTAGCATTACACGATATATTTTATATTTAGTATGAGCAAACTATAAATCATTAGCTTCGCTTTTAGCCCTCGTAACTAAATTTATGCAAGCGATGTTTAGAATGCATTTTTAGATCGAAAGGACTCTGGACAGCCTTAAATGTGTTTTCAATACATTTAGGGGGAAATCATCGTTGGGTGCCCCTGAGTTTTGATAATAATAATATCGTGCACATAAATTTTACTTTACGATATCTTCAGCTGTATCTTCTATTCAGCTGCATAGCCGAGGCCAGATTTTGCCTTTTTCCTGGGCGGAAAATTCTCGTCCTCCCTCACCAGTTTGGACAACATATTGTGGAGTAAGACGTTGTTCTGGAAAGATCTGTTTATTTAATTAATCCAAGCAAATAGGTCCAGTAGAGTCAAGAACCTAGCTATGCAAGCGGCTGGACTAACAACAGCATCCGTGACAGCGAACGTTAGAAGAATTCGAACTTGAAAACCAGAGCCGCACTGTTGAAAACTTACGGACGGTCGCGCGATCGCCTTTTGTTTTCTGGTGAAAACTAACGCAGCGAACCTTCGGTCAGTGTCGATTGACTGATTGACCTAGAAGCAATAGTACCACCCCTCCCATAGCAAGTGCTGCATTGTTGCACGAACGCGGTCGCTAAGCTTGAATATTCACATCGCGTATTATACCTGGTAGTTTGCGGTCATATCGAAGCGTAAAGGTCAACAGTGCGATGGGTTTGTGGAGCCAGCGAGCAAGAAGCAGGAGTACACGTTACCTGCAGATTAGCCAATGGTAATTTGGAGCGGATTCGTCAATTATTCTCGAATTTATAGCGCTTCATGTGAAGGCGTGTGGAGATGGTCCGTTTGTTTTGTAGCCAGCCTTTAATTCTTCTTTAGTGGATAGTACCTACAATTGCAAAACTCAACAAAATGCCACTTTAACCGGCCAGGAAAGACAAGGATACGTTCAGTTAAAGGTATCTTAGCTTTATTTTGTTATATTTTGATTTTTGGACTATTTTAGTTCATTGGAGTTTCGACGACTCATCGCATTAATTTGTCCATGTGAGTATTAATATATTCATTCAGTGACAAATACTACGTCTGGGCCGCCTGTGGTAACAAATGTACATGTGAACTTTGTAAATGTATCTGACTCAGGAGACTGAGGAATTCATGAGCTAGTTTGGCAAATTAATTTTAAACAAATATAGAGGGCCTTGCTACAGGTATACTAATCATCACCGTGATTGCGTCACTACTCTAATTTTAAATTATATTAAAATATTGGCATCTCTGTGCATGACTTCAGAAAGGAAACCATGTGTTATTGGTTTTACTACTTGAAAATATTGATACAGGTTAAAACAGTATTTGAAACTAATTTTTCTTTAGCCACACTGCATAAGGTGTATATACTGTGAAACCTGAATGCATACTACATACATAGATGTATCAGGAAAAAAAGATTAATTTTCACCCGTTCAAAAACTGTACCATTCCAGTTGTTTGTAATTGCACGATGGATGGTGCATAGTTTTGTGCAAAGAAAACATGTTAGGCTTGTGATATGGATAACGTCGTTCAGGCAAGGGGGGTAATATCTTAAGCACAATGACATTATTCATTTGTCTGAAGAAAATAATACATTCAAGCAACCCTTGCAGAACGATGCACAAAAGAACCCCTAATTGTCACTATTTGAGTGCAGACATTCGCAAAAAATCCATTATGTAAAGCGTATAATTTCTTCTCCTGCACATCAGACCTCGATGCAAGACGTACATGTGTTGACAATTGGCTTGTTGTGATTACCAGTGAAATACAACGGAAAATGGAAGGAAAACAACATATCAAATATTTATCTTGCTCTTGTCACACGGCATTGACGCTTATTAGTTATTTTAGCGCTGAAAAGCGATGTTGGGCCAAAATACCACAGGAAAACATTTGTGTTCCAATATATCTTTACACTGTAAAAAAAGGATCATAAAAAGATTTCCACACTGTTATTGAAACTATATATTAAGTCAATAAAAATGGAAAAAACCTCTTTACATTTTTGGGTGAGAAAATAAGCCACTGGGATGAATTTTAAAAAGTTTTTCAAAGTCTCGCTATTTCATTTCGTTCAAGCGTGTGCTCACCGAAGCATAATATAAGGTAAATGTTTCCCATCGTCAACTAAAACCACTAAACTGCCTAACGAATATGTTATCCTTACATTTACTTAGATCTACTTCCTATTCATATACATTTTACGACGCCCTAACACAAAGAGAGTAAAAGTTTTAAAATTTTAGCGCGTCTACTTTGATAATTAACTACAACACCGGTTGGACCACACAAGCGTGTGAAATTAAGCTTACTTCCGATTACTTCGAAGAAATTTATATTAAATGGTTAGTGCGTAATCTGACGATTACTGAGATTTTTCACATATTATACCCTTACCTTCGACACAATCACCATTGCAGAGAGTAATGGAAATCTCCAGATGATGTAAAAAGTCTCACGTCAATCGGTGTGGAAGACCTGAAAACACAATCTTACCCCATTGATGTATTTACATACATACAAACATATTTCGATCGTTGTAAACGTTATGCTATAACACTAACAGCAGCTCATCCAAGTGCACAACATTTATGTAAAAGTTCTAATTTAGTGGTAGACCGGGTAGATATCAGCTGTAAATCTAAATACAAATAATTGCTACATACATACAGCATACATAGCAAGCATTAGCGACAAGAATATTTAAAGTTATATCAGTTCAACATTTAGCGACTTACCGGAAGATAAGGTCCCTCAGCTGATCCTGAACGAAAGCATTACAAACATAACTAAATGGCAGGTACATCTGCACTTCCTTCCCTTTTCTAGGAGATATAAAAAGTATCCTAACCTGGCATCGAAGGCGCTTGGGTAAATCGGATAGAACCACAGCAACACACCGCTGGGCAGCACGCAAACGAGGCTGGGCTGCGAGCCACCGCGTTCGAGGACTTCGAGAAAGGCGCCCTGAAGGCGGGAAATCAAAATGTCTGGTACTGGTACTAATTACTCCAGTTTGTTCACTATATCCGAACTATAGGATTCCAAGGAAGATCGGCAGGTTTGCGATTTGGCCAACTCGTAAGCAACATTCAAGACTGATGACCCGAGATTTAGCATACGAATCAAGCTCCCATTCAGGAGCCTACGAAAAAAAAACTGCTGCGAAAGCCTTTAACTGGTTAACAAAGTTGAAAGAAATGACACTTAAATTTCCATAACACTTGAAATATTTAGACCTGGTAAACCTATATAGAACTTCCTCTTTTCTGAAATTTTCCGCTGGAACAACCTGAAAAGTTTCTATTTTTCTTTGCATCCTGTATTGTTGTGGAATTCTTTTAACCCCGCTCCGCTGGTTCAAACAAATCAAGAGGACTGTGTCTTTCGATGTAACAACACGATTTAATGCAATCCAACAATCTATGAAATCTACTGCGATGTACAATTCTCACATATTCAACGTTCGTAACACTACGATCAACGTAACTAAACGATCAACGATCAACGATCAACGTAGTATACAGTGGTTTTTCAACTATCCTTGCGCAAGGCAGTATTTTTACATTAATCACATGCACAGTAAAAGTTCCCATTCCCAGCGAGGCGGCGTCAACAAATAAAAAGAAAATGGCGGCACAAGTGGAGGGACGATGTGGAGTTGATAAATTGGCCTTCTTTAACAAAGAACCTACCATAGAAACTGCTTAAAACTTCTATACAAAACAGGGACCGCGGAGGGGGAGGGGCTGGTAGGGCCGCGGCCCCACCACTTTTTTGCGCCCCCGCCCCCACTTTTAGCCCTAAAAACTAATAATTAAAATTAAAAAAAGACTTGAAACAATTTTTTTTCCGTCTATATTCCGCTATATTCTCTGTATTTTCTTTAATTTCAAACGCCAGGCATTTTGGGGGCTCCTGTGCTTTTCGTGGTAATTGTGCCCTGGGGCCGACTTGCCCCTTGATCAAACGCCATGCCTTGGCCACCCCTTCGCTTCGTTCAGCAGCGTGTTTTGTACTTCCAGCTCCGGCAGAGTTTTTTATCAGTTTTATCAGACGAAATGAAGAACTTTACTAGCTTTTTCAAGCCAAACGAAGGTGAGTAGTTGTTTTGAGTTGATAAAAGTTTTATATTTTGTCTTTCTCCTTTCGAATCAATGAAATATTCGATGGCAAGAAGAATTACATTACTTGAACAGTGAACGGCCATAGTTAGAAATTTTTCAGATCACTTCAGTGTAGTATTTTCTATACTAAAATTGTAATCGCGTCTTTTCTTGCATTGAATCTGAACTGACCGTGTATGTTGGTCGTTTATTAGAGTTATCTGGGACTTCGTCAAAGTCTGTAAGCTCTGCAGAAAAGCCGACAACTACTTGCAGTGAAAATCGTGAGTTTGAGTTTGACCAGTAAACATTTCAATAGCTTGGACGTGATTCAGATCGCAAACACATTTGCTGGACGGAATGAAAATCGTATGAAGAATTTCGGTATCTTGACTAATGCCGACCTATAAAGAGCAACAAATAATGGATAAAGTATGCAAAGTCACGCGACAGAAACAAATCAAATACTATGATTTTATTCCTTTTTTCGACTTTCAATATGAAAAAATTATTTTTAATTGTCAGCCCTCCCACTTTTCACCTTGCTCCGCGGTCCCTGCAAAAGGGTCTTTTACAAGCAACGGTAGAAATCGGTTAAAGCGACCGCGTGACCATCGTTTTTGTTTGAACAGCTGGAAAGAGGACAAGTAGCGTTGCGGCCCAGATAAGCGTTGCACACAAAATGCGCGGCCCCTATAAAGACGACCATACAAGCGACCGTGTGGAGGTATTTTCTATTGAAAGAGGAAGGAAAAAAACGTTTAAAGGTTTCCAGTATCTTTGTCAAGGACATGACCAGGAAGGCGAGAATTTTGTAGAACACACCTTTTTCAACTTGACCGATGTTTTGTTCCACACTTCACATTGGACAATTAGCAATTATTCTTTATTGAACACGAGGTTAATAGAAGCGGAATATTCGCGGCCAGGTTAATATTCCTAAGTAAAGAAACCAAAAAGCTCAATTTGATTGACAGATCAAATCATGCGTGGAAATGGGTAAACAATAGGTTTGATCTTTACAGAATTTTCAAACATTGCAAATCAAATCGTAAACAATAGCCTAATGGGTTATATGGAATCGCCAGAAGTTTAAATTCAGCTGTAAATTGTACTTCCAAGCCTAAGAAGAAAAGTAGAGCTTTGTTTTCATATTTATTTCAACACCGTTTGCAACATGAAAAAACACAAACAACCTCACACAAATAAAGCTTTTACAAGCAAAAATCGTTTTCAGGAAACACACTCACTGATCTTTGTAGCGTTTTAGCCTCGCGAGTAAATAATGGGTTAGCTCGGTGTTTTGCCAATCTTTTGTAGAGCAAGAACCTTTCAGAATTCGGCAAAATTCTGGGGTCCATTTTATTGAAGGTAAGAAAAGACTTCAAAGCATTCAAAATAGCGTTTTCCAATTAACTTTACTGCGCAGTATTTTTCGCTCGATGGAATGCTGACAATTACAGTTTAATTGAATAGAAGAGGTGGTTTTGTAAACTCAACATTTCCTTCAAAGGCGAATTTTTGCCAGAAATCAAATTCAACTTATGACAAAAAAAAGGCAAATCTTAACGAAATTTCGAGATTTCAATGTCAAGAAAACTATAGAGAAACGGCGCCTTACCTCGAGCAACCGGGCCACCATTGTGTGTACTTATTAAAGAACAACACGAGCTGCACAAGAAACCTTTTTCCCTGACTTGGCGAGTCGACAGATGCAAACAAACCTCTTCTTTTCTTCACAGGATGGGAAGCAGAATTTAAAGTTCTGGCGATTTCACATAGCCCATTAGGCCATTGTCTGCGAAAGGATTTTTTTTAACTGCGATTTGATTTGCAATGTTTGATAATTCTGTAAAGATCAAACTTTTGCTTATACCGATTTTCACACATGAATTGATCCGTTAAAAGCGTCAATGAAATTGAACTTAAATGGTCTCCTTACTGATTTTTAATCTTGGTGAATATAGCTTTAGGAATATTAACCTCGCCGCGAATATTCCGCTTCTATTCACCTGGTGTTCAAGAATACAGTGCTTAATTGTTAATTGTCTAATGTAAAGCACGGTAAAAAATATCAGTCAAAGCAGGAAAAGGTGTTGTCCACATGATTCCTGGTCATGTCCTTGAGAAAAATACTCGAAACCTTTATACGTTTTTTTCCTTCCTCTTTCAACAGAAAATACTCCAGACACGGTCGCTTGTACGGTCGTCTTTGTAGGACCCGCGCATTTTGTGTTCACCGCTTATCCGGGCCGCAATGTTACTTGTCCTCTTTCCAGCTTTTCCAACAAAAACGCTTTAACTGTATTTCTATCGTTTCTTGTAAAGGATCCGTTTGTGTAGAAGTTTTAAGCAGTTTCTATGGTAGGCTTTTCGTTGAAGAAGGGCAATTTATCAAGTACACACCCTCCACATCGTCCCACCACTTAGGCAGCCATTTTTTAAATTTTTAACCCCGCCTCGCCTTGGCGCGCCAGGAGCCGATTACTTGGAGCCTCCATATACGTGCTGTACCCTTGAGTCAACCCTTTCCGATAAAGAATTATTTTAGAACAGGCTTTCCCGCGAAATTAATTTTAATTAATTGTTTTCGAGGACGTCCGCATATTTCTGTAGTAAGAAAAAAATGGCGACGAAGGAGGGAAATTGGCCAACAAGTTTACTCCTTGTTCCATCACCGTAGCTCCTGCCTCCGTTCCTTCCCTTACAACCGAGGAAAGCTGGTTTCGAGTTAATATAAATAATATGTAATCTGGCTTAAAAATATTGCTATATTTTGTTGCAACGCACGAGGTCGTGTTTGCTGTTGTAGCACTGTTCGGATGTTTACATTTTGCTCGTAATGTTGTATTCCATCGCCCTTATTTAAAAGGAGCTTTTCAAAGAATTAAAAAGTGAAACTCTTCGTTGGAGAGCCAGACTTTTTAAAAGAGAATTGGAGCGCTTACGGTAAGGTCTGTATGGAACCGGCAAATCGGAGGCAATTTTGCGCCTTCCGCGGCCTTTGTAAGTAGAAACTGTCGGGTCTTCTGTGTCTTATTACCGCAACCTGGGACAGCGAAAATCAAGATGTTTTCTCATGATTTTGAAGGATTTCATTTAAAGAAGCAAAACGTCGAAGTGAAGAAAGGTATCGGTTTATGTTGTCCGGATTTTTATTCATTTTGATGGTGCTATATAAGTTATTATTTAGTTGCCACAAGACATGAAAGCTACAAAAAAAACAGCAGTGTGGTCCTTTGTGGAATTATTAAAAAGCTCCAAAGCATTGCACAAGTGGGTTAACCAGTAAAGTAAAGTAACTAAAGAGCTTGATTTTTTAATATTTATTTACCCGCTGTCGAGGGTCGGGCCGGACTGGGTTGTTCGTGATAAAACTTATGATATGCAGCCAACTGTCAAGATTACAAGTAAACTTGAAGACGTCGCATGAGTGTATCACCTTTTTCTTTTTGTTATTAGGCTTTAAGTGGGTATTTTTAACCCGGTAGAAGATCAGAACTATCATCAGATAACTCTTCCACGCTGGCTACCGCCATTGTTGGCAGCAATTCAAATCCCGCTTCTGTGACTCAGCGTGTGACGTATGATCATAGCCCTGCTCTGATTGGATATTACTGAGAAGGCGTGAAAAATATTCCGCGAAAGCTATTTCTATAAATAATTTTTCGTCGGAAAGGGTTGACTCCAAGGGCTTATATGGTAGACGGAGGCTCCAAGTAATCGGCTCTTGATTCGTGATTTGAGAGGCCTGCTGAAGCTCGGCACCATCTGTGCCCGGTATATGGGACCATCTGTGTCCAGGATTTACAGATTTCCTCGGTTTCTGTATAACAATGTGTTTTATGATTATAGGGACCTTTTGTGTCCGGGTTTAGGCTTTTGAGTGTCGATCAGTTCGTATGTTTTGTTTTGGCATTCTTCAGCTTTGTGATTTAGAGTTTATTTGTTTTCTTTACAAGGTTTATGACCATTTGTGTGCTAGATTGTGGTTTTTGCAGTTCTTTTATGCTTCGCTTTACGTTTTATTTTCCGTGTTGTTGTCTTTAATTTTGTTTATTAGTTCTTTATTCTTGGTTTTGTATATTTGATTCTTTTTTGGTTGATCGATTATTATATTTATTTGTTATTTTGTTTTATTTTAGTTTCTTGCTAAGCGGATGTTCTTTTGTTTTTCTCTTTGCTCTTTGTTAGTTTTGCTTTTTTACAGATGTGTTCAAGTCTGAAATGTGGTCGGAATTTTTCGCCTCAATTCCAGAGGTTCTTCAGCCCACGGCTTCTTTGGTGAAAAGCACTGTTCTTGCTTCCAAAGCAGATGGTACTGTTCGTTTTCAAGGATGGAAATGTTGGCTTCCTCCAATCACGTCTGCCATTTTCCACCTAATCCGTTCCAGGTCGCAGTCTACTTGCAGTGTCTGCTTAATGAAGCTTATTCTCCTTCTTCAGTTCTTAACACGGTCTACAGCATTGACTGGGCGCTACAGTTGGCTGGCTTATCAAAAATCTCCAGTCATCCCCTGGTTGCTTCAATGGTCAGTGCGTCTCAAAGGATTTTGGGCAGGCCAAAGGTCAAAAAGGACCCTATAACTCCTGAGATATTGAAAGCGCTCGTGGAATCGAAGATAACAGATAAGTCTCCCTCTGTTTGTAATCTTAGATCTTTTGCCTTATGCCTTATTGGTTACGCGGGATTTTTTCGCTTTAGCGAGTTATGTCATATAAAAGCCTGTGATGTTAAGTTTTTCCCATCTTATGTGTCCATTTTCCTAGAATCTTGGAAGTGTGACCAGTTCCGAGACGGGGCGTGGATCGTTATCGCGAGGACAGACTTGCCAACTTGTCTAGTCAAGGCCTTGGAGGACTACATCTCGGCGGCTCAAATCAATCTCTCCGAGGATTTATCGCTGTTCAGAGCCCTTGCTACTCCTCGGTCAAAAGTACGAAGCCAAGGGATTAGCTATACAAGAGCGAGAGAACTCATTAAGGACGCCTTTAGAGATATAAAGGACGTTTCGAAGATTAGTGTTCATAGCCTTAGGGCTGGAGGAGCCACCTCTGCGGCTAATGCCAGTATCGCTGATGGACTTTTCAAGCGACATGGCCGTTAGGCGAGCGAGAACTCCAAGGATGGCTACGTTAAGGACGATTTTAATTCTCGCTTGTCAGTCACGAAGTCTTTAGGAATCTGAGTTATGCTTTATTGTTATTTATTTATTTATTTTTGTTTCTTAAACCGTGCCCGACAGGTCGGGAGAGTTCTATCCTTAGGGCCGTGGTTTTTCCTCGGCTTTTTCCGCAGCTAGCGCGGTGAGGTTGTTTCATCCTGTGGATGCTCGTTGGTTCTCTTCCAGGATTAGTTTTCCTTTATTTGTTTCATAGGCTTTTCTTGGTTTGCACCTTTGTAGTTGTGGAATTAGTTTGCTCACTAAACGCGCGGCCTCCAGTGAGCACTCAATAGCATATCGTGTGTCGTTATTGTTGTCACGCACGGGTATGGTGTCTGTAGGGAATTTGGACGAGAGTTGAAATTCCCTTTCCTTTTTGTATAGCTCTTCATCTGACTTTTCGTTGGCTTTTCCTATATTTGT